GGTGGCGTCCATAACGGCTGCTGCCGTCTCTGGGTGAGGCACCAGCTCGACCAGTTTCACATAGTAGGGTGGGTTTACCTGGAGGGAGCGAGACACGAACGAGGAAAGCTGGTTATCCTTTTATCAGAATATTTGCTATGGTCACAAAATCTATTCATTCTTCACTGTTGGATGTCGCGCAGCTGTTAGTGTGGATAGACACCCTTCAATTTTTATGCTTTTCATGAAGATTGTTGATTTGTTTCACATTGCGTTTGTGGTCGGAGATGGAAATACAGTGTAAGGAGATGTATTACAGCGGTCGTAGATATAAAAAAAAAAAACAACAAAAAAAGCCAACAAAGAATACATTTCCACCAAAAAAAAAAAACTGCATGTGTTTTGAGATTAATCTCAGAAATTTTCTGCAATCGAAAATATATGGAGGTCTCTGAGTTTGAAAAGTTGCGCATTTGCGAGAAAAAAACTCACAAATTTTGATTTTAATCTCAGAAGTTTTCTAGAAAAGGCATGGACATTTCTGAGTTTGAACAGTCACGCAGTTTCGACTTTTCAAACTCAGAAATCTCCATGTTTTTTCTAGAAAATTTCCAAGATGAATCTAAAACAATTTCTGAGTTTTTTTCTTGCAAATTTCAGACTTTTCAAACTCAGACGTTTGCTTGCTTCTTCTAGAGAATGGGGGGGGGCAGAAATGTACTCCTTCTCATTCTTTTTCCTAACACCATGCGCTGGTGAATTAGAGCTCTTCTTCTGCTGCGGTTCTGTGTTGGCACCAACCGGGTGGGACACGAGGCAGCGGCTTCTCTCCTCCACTTTGGCGAAGACGCTGCTCGGCACCAGGCAGGAAGTGGAGCTGCTCAGAATCGCCGCTTTACCCACGAAACGTTCGACTTCCTGAAAGACGCTCTGCTTGACTCCCAGCTCCTCGAAGACGCACTCCTGGAACAGGAAGACACGCGCAGATTCGTGACTGGACCGATCACTTACTGCAGCACCTTAACCTAACATCATCTGTTCTTACTTCTCAGCCTTTTCACAGATTTGTTAAAAAAACAAAGAAAGGAAACGAAGGAATGACCTTTCTGACGGTTGATACAAAAGACCAAAATAATAAATGAATCCATGTAACACTGCTTACAAGCACTAAGATTATGATACAAAGGCATATTCTTTATTGTCACTTCGAGGAAAATATGTCTCAGACTCAAACGCCCTACGCTTAACAAACAAGACAAGAAAAATACAATATTATAAAATAAAATACAATATTTGTTGTTTTTGTCATCCCAGAACAACTAAGCCATGCACTTAATATGTCCTCAAAAGATAAAAACTAAAAACAATTTCTCACTTTTATTGTTATCACAAAATATCACAACAAACCCTCAATGTGAAATCGCGGATCTGACCGGTGAGGATCAACGCTAGTCCTGCTAATGACCTGCAGTTTGAGCGGGGAAAAGCTCTCGTGCTTCCTCCTCTCGACTAGAATATGTGATCAACAGAAAAGTGACCCGCCGGGCAGCTTCACATGGGAAGAACACGGGAAGTGAACAGCGATGCCAAGGAGGGAAAACCTTGTTTTGTGTCGCGTTTCCTCGTCTACATTATATCTTGGAAGGCTGCTTCAGTGAAAGTGAGCGCTCATTTTTTCGCCCCCTGCCCTCTTTCCTCTGATCATATCTGCAGGGAAGAACAGCAGCCTTGTCTTGCAGGCCTCCTTTGGTTCTTTGTTTAAAAAAGGTCAGCTTTCTATCCGATTTCAGGTGACTGGTACTACATTTTAAAAGGGTTTTAGCGCTGATTGTGGTTTGGGCTCCCAAGAGTGGTGGGGGGAAAAAAAAGGAGATTAGGAACTTTCATCATCAGGAGGTCAAAGTGTGAGTTAAAAACCTCCTGTCTGTTAAACATCAGAGTAAAAAAAAACACTCCCTGCATATTCTCTTTGCTTTAAAATGCAAGAAGCGTTTGGTCAAACGTCAGACTTAGGATGTTGCACCATATCACTAAAAAAATCTATTTTGAAAACCTTGGAGTGAGCCCCCTTGATGAAAAATATATTCAGTACCTGCTTAAAAGTTATTTTCAAAAGCTACTTTTAATCTGACAAACAAAACCCGTTCTTATGTTCTGACTGATTGAATATGGCTTTAGATATTTGTGCCTTTCATCTGTCTATTCATCTCTTCTCTCACAATATGTGACTGGGGGAATAAAGCTGGAAAACACAAATATTTTCCCCCACTCCATTTTCTTTTTTGACAAACATTATGGAGCAGAAAATTTGAGAGAGCAAATTCCACATTTTATTATTTTCTTTTTTTTGCATTTGAACTCTGTACTTTGTCTGTTTTAGCTCATCTGATTTGTAAGAGCTCTACAATCATTGGAGCTCAGTTCTGGGTTTAATAGAGACCAACAGGAGCCCTAACCAGGGCAGGATGTGATGTCACTGGGAGTCTGCAACCTAATTGTTTCTTCCTCTTCTCCAGAAATTTCTCATTTCCGACAAAAACAATCTGCAACAAATAAAACCCCAACACAGGTCAATGCAAAACCGGCCATATATTTTTTTTTTGTTTTCAGATTTCTCTGAAGTCAAACTAAAAGCCGTTTTGCTCCGCAGAGAAAAAAAAAAAAAAAGAGCTCATCTGCATGTGTTGGTAGACATTAAATCTCTGGTATACATTTCTTGTTTTGATGTTGCTGTTTTGACCAGTGAGGTTTTTCTGCTTGTTTCCAGTGAACTGCTCCTTTAATTAGCAAAAAGCAAAATCACACAAGAAAAAGAATGTTTTTAGTCACCAGATACTTTTTGTTTGCTTTGGTTTTAGAACAAGTAGAGTCCAGAAACCCCCCAAAAAATATATATATATATTTAAGTAATTCATTTAAAATTTTAAACGAATATATTGAGTTGATTTCACTTAATAAAGAGCAGGAAAACAATGTGCTATTCTGCCCCCTTCAGTATAAACAAGGCAATTAAAGAGCCAGGATGTTTTGCACTGAGCTCAGTGTTCTCAGTTTGTTGAAGTAAAGATAAGATAGCACCAATTTCTTTAAGTAATGGAAATCACTGCTGTCCAACCACATTCCGTTTGAAATCAGCGCAGCACATCCCCCTTGGTTTTCAGGAGACGGACGCAGACTCGTCTGTTTGCGTTACCTGGACGAAAAAGGCTCCCTCCAGCGCTGGGGCCAAATCGTCGTAGGAGGAGAGCAGGGCGAGCTGCTGCACGGCGCTGAGGTCCCCCCTCAGCATGCGGGCCTCTTCCAGCTCCTCCAGCTGCTTCCTGAACCCATGAAGAAATATGTCAGAAAACCTCCGACGCAACCAGACGGGCTTCGGAGACGACAGGAAGCATTCCTACTGAACTTCCTGGAGGAATTGTTAAAAAAATGTAAGCTGTTTCTCAATGCTCTCCAGCCTAACAATAAGGATATAAAATGTAGTTCATTTAATAGACAATCTAATGTGAAAAAAAGGAAATCTACAGAGATTGCATATAGTAACTGCTAGTATTTAAGGTCTCTTCGTGCTCTCTTTCATCACATGGTATATACAGTAATGTTGGCTTTTAACAGTAAAGATTTAAAGAGCCTCCCGACAGGAACATATTCCATGCACATCCGTAAGTCACCTGATCTCCGTGACAGCCCTTGCAGCCTGCCCTGGCTGGTTGTCGTAGATCTTTACCTGGTAGCCTCCACTGATGAACACCATGGCCCAGGAGCGGCCGATCAGACCACTAAACACACGCAGGAAGAGAAGAAGTGTGAGGAAAAAACTATTGAAACTTCACACTGCAAAATCTGGCGTGTGATGTTATTTCTGTAAAATCACATATGAGCAAGTTAAATGCATAGCTAGTGCTGTTTATTTGTGCTTGAACATAAAGTAGGCTTCTGTTTACCTCCTTCTTATGTCTAACTTAATAACTGCTAAAGATCATTTCTGATCTCCTGAGAATCTCCCACTGTGTAATGATACATTTACTGAGATGAGTCCTTTAAAAGAAACAAAAACAAAATCAAAAAGGTTTTCAAAACATCTGAGTCACCAAAATTGATACACGACCTGAAGAAGACTAACTGCTGAACCTGAAACAAAATATTTACCATATTTCTATGCAAGCTATGAACTTTTGCAAGCTTCCTCTTGCTTATTGGTGCAACTGCTGACAATTCAAACTAAAGATGACTTTGTGTTGACGTGACCTGTCAACAGAAAGGTCACGTTCAGCTGACTGCGCAGAAATGCTGATCAGGGTACAAGAAATGGGTTAAAATGTAAACCTGTACTGACAGGGATCGCAGGATACAGACATGCAGTCAGCACGGCTGCCAATGAATTAAAGCAATGCTGCAGTCGAAAGAACAACTCGGACAACTCCAGCTGAAAAGGACAGACGCAAAAGACCCCCAAAAGTTGGCATGCAAAAGACAGACTAAAGCTGCGTGCAGAAAGCAGCGAACTGAAGATGAAGACAGGCAAACTGGAAAACATCCAAACTCAACCTGAGCTGCTGTCATTTTTCTGTTGTTTGCTCACCTGCCGATCACAGTGATGGTTTTCACCTCAGACGCGCTCATTATTTGATATTATAGAGCCGAAGTCCCTCAGTTACCACATTATATCCTGCACCGCCCCTCCGGGGTCACGCTGTCTGAGCGGTACGGCAGCCCAGATGGACAAACATACTTTGGCAAAGAATTCAATATTAAGAAGATGTAATATGTTTGGGTAAAACATCACACTCTAATAACTTAACTTGATATATTTGTTATGCTATCGTTTTATGACTTAATATAAATAAATAAAACAACTGAGTGCTAAATAAAACACATCGATGTCGTAGCTTCCCCGCGTATCCTAGCAACCAGTGAATTTCTTCATCTTTATCCAATCACATCAGGCCATCAAGTGGATTGACGTCTAGACACCCAATCAGAACGTCGAAAAGAGACTTTAATCCCGCCCGTGCCGCGTTGACTTGTGGGACTGAACTCTGAAACGTCAACAAAAATCTTTCTGCTGTTAATGTTCACAGATAACTGCTCGCTTTCCGTTCAGCTCGGTGTTTCCCCGCGAAACAGAGATGGAGAATGTTCACCTGGCCGTCGAGGAGGACGACCTTTATTCGGGTTACAACGACTATAATCCCACATTTGACTCCGAGGTGAGTAAAAAAAACAACTCCAAGCTGCGTTGACGACATTGTTAGCCGTCGGTGCTGAAGCTACCGCATTATGCTACATGCGTAGCTGTAAAGCTACAGGTTGTTAATTGATAATTGAGACATCACGGTATATAATCACACATGTTGTGACCTTTTTAAGGAATTGGAGAACGATGTGGGCTTCCAGCAGGCAGTCAGGACCAGTCATGGAAGGAGACCTCCGGTGAGAACAGACTGCAGCAGTTCTGCTAAAATGTTCATGTAATGAATCATAAAGATTATAAGGATGAGTTTGTCACTAATCTGACAAATTAATAAAGATTAGTTTAGGCTAATCTAAACTAATCTAGATTAGTCTAACCTAAAGATTAGACAAACTTTACAAACTGTAAAGTTTGTCTCTTTACAGTGACAAACTATAAAGATTAGTTTAGTTCTTTCATAACTTTTTCAAACTATAAAGATTAGTTTGTCACTGGAAATAAGTCAGCTCATGTAATTAACTTAGCTAAATTAAGTCATAAATATTAAATTATATTTATCTTAATTTTTATTGTGTACTATGCTGGGACAAACAACATTTCCCCTTCTGTGCATCAATAAAGTGTTATTTTATCTTATTTTGCTTATTTTATTTTGCTGTAGTTTCTCTACCATAAAATACACAAATTTTGGAGTAGAAACGTAGTGGGTTAAAGATCCCTCTGTAAGTTCCAGTCTTGTGTGAAATACTAACGGTGAAGAATATAGTAAAGCTCTAAAATTGTTCATGCTCCAACAACTTGGATTTCATTGCTGAACATGAATAATAGAAAATCCCAGTGGAAATGTGCTGTAAGAAGGGTTAGATCACTGTAAAACCCTTTTCCACAGATTTTGAATAAGGCTGTAAATATGTTTTTGACCGACAATTATTATGAAAATGTAGATAAACAATTTCCCCCCAAACAAATGTGTACTCCTTTTTCATCTTTTATTATCTTTTGAGACATCCTGTCTCAAACAAACTTCTTGGTTGAATGGATCTAATCTGAACCTGCAAGGAGTATGAATAACTTTGGTCTTCATGTGACATTAAATACGGAGGACTTACAGGGTAACAGCAGGGGAGCCAATAATTGTGCAACAGGGAGGGGAAGAGTTGTTTTTTTTTCATAACTGAGTAAATGTTAAATTGAAGTTTGGATTTTTCTAGATCCTTCTAGTTTTAGACGATGTGATGACAATAAAACATTATTTTAGCGTTGTATTATAATTGTTCATATCCAAACTTTTCCTTAGTATTCAAGTAATTTGGGGCTTCATTGCACATATTTAAATAAGTAGTGTATTCATTTATAACCTTAGAAATTGTTTTATTTAATTATTTAGATGACTGCGAAGTTTCCAGGCACCGCCATCGGAGGTCGACCTTTAGTTTCATCTTTTGGTGTAAGTATAATGTAGTAATAACACATAATGCTCAGCAAATAAACAGCCTGGTTTTTTATTATTGTTTTTTGTTTATCTGTGCATGAAAATGTGTTGTTTCATGAGTTTCATGATGTCCCCTTCAGTGATCATTTAATTCTATTGTTATGGAGAGAAAAGAGCAGAGAGTAAAGGGTTACTCTAAATTTACTGTGCCATACATGTTCTAGGACCCACTGTCCAAACACAGACGTTCTTAATTAAATGAGATAACCACATGTTTTTGTCTGGTGTCAGCATGTTAGGTGCTAACATTTCTTTGTTTGTGTTGTCTCATTTAGTCCCGAATCCCCATGGCTTCATCAATGGGCAGACCCATGACTGGAGCTGTCCAGGTGAGAGGAGAGTGTTGCTTGCTTTTTGCCCTCACTGTTCATGGAATAAATCTTGGATGGTTGTGTTCAGCTCATGCCCAACGAGGGCAAAAACAAAAGTGTGTTTTCTGATTTTAAGTGTATTCGTTTCATTTAACAGGATGGCTCCGCCCGTCCGATGACGGCTGTCAGAGCTGCAGGTTACTCATCCTCACTGATGCGTGGTAAGTTTAAACAGAAAAGGTGTGCTCTTCTTTCTGCTGTGTGGTTATTTATGACCCAATGCATACATTGATATTTGTTTTACCCCTGATAAGAGTCTTTTGAATGAACAAAGCTTAGAAGACCATGTTGCCCTTGACAATTATTTTTTCTATGAGCTGATTGTAGATGTGTATAAAAACTTAAACAGGACATTTGCATTTCCAGGCTCAACCTTTGACCCCCTGGGACAGTCCAAGGGGCCTGCGCCTCCACTTGAAGCAAAGAATGAAGACACGTGAGTTACCTCACTTTGTGAAACAGTGAACGCTGCTTACAGTTGTGCACTGGGTACAATAGTTTTCACAATTGAACCAGGTTCACGCCACACAGACAGTTGGAATATTGGAATAATACTTTATCACTAAGCAAAAGGTATGAAAAAAACATCCAGCTGTGATATATTTGGTAGATACTGTGTTGATGATATGCATTGCGATAAATCCAGATATTTTTTTTTAACCCTTGTGTTTCTGCTCATTAGGGTGAGCATTTATCATATTGTTTAGCATTTATTGTGATAAATTTCTTATCATGAGAATAATTTTGTTGTATTGTTGCTACAATAAATTCAAATTAATCATGTTTATAAAAGAAACACAAAACTTTCTGAATTACTAGTTTCACTGTTTTCTCCGCTAAATGGCGACATCATCACATATCAATATATCAAGAAATATGGTTAAATGGAGTTCAGTGATACAAATCACACTTCTTCATGTAAAAAGAAGTAATAAATAGTTTTTATTGTCACTTTTATCATTATAAAAATACCACAAATGAACTTTAAGTCCGTTTCACCCACCTCTGCTGCATAATATATTGTGCAGCCCTAATTAATAATTAGCAACAACTTTTGTAGTTTTCTAGTTATGCCATCTAGCAAGTCCAAAATATTTGTTCTGCCACAAGTTATAATTTTATTAAAAGAGAAAGGATGGGTGTTCTTGTGAAAGGACTGGAAATCGACCCATATTTAGTATTTTTCTACCTTTTGGGTTTTGCAGGGCGGAAGAGAAGATCAAGATCCTGGAGAAAAGAGTGAACGACCTGATAGAGGAGAGCTGCATGGCACAGAGCATAGGCGCCTTACAGCTGGTCAGATCCCAGATCTGGTTCTCAACATAATATTGATACTGCTCATGTCATCTCAAAGCTGACATTTGGCGGAATATCATCTGTAATAAATCTTGATTTTGCCGTGACCGCTCATTTAACGACAGAGCGAAAGATTTCCTTTTCCTTCTGCCAACCTCAGACATACGGCCTCGTTTTTTGCTGATCGGTGTACATGTGTACGTTTGGATTGGGTTTCTGCAGGCTCTTGAAAAAGCCAAAGAGGCAGGGAGGAAAGAGCGAGCGCTGATCAGACAGAGGGAAACGTCCGGACAAACGGAGCACATCAACTTAGACCTCACTTACTCTGTGAGTAAAGGTTGCACTCGCCCACAGTTTTGATATCGTCCCTCATCAGTCAGTTATTAACAGAATCCCTCACATTCATGATTCTTTCCGGGGGGTTTTGTCCGAAAATAATGGCAAATTGTTTGATTCTGTGTTGCTAATGTTGAAGTCACATGCGTGCAGGTTTTAGTCTTTTTACTGCTGATGCTTCTATATTTGACTGTACTGATTTCTTGTCACATTGTAGGGAGAGGTAATAAAACAGGGATCAAATATGACTACCGTGGCAGCAAGCATTTCGACTCAGCTACACTGGCAGTATGAGCAGAGAAAAGCTGTAATCTTAAGTTTTTTTTCCCCTCTTAAACCGTGCCGTGATTTGGAGGCTAATGAAACGAGTTCACTCCGCTCCTAAGGACGTGTTGATTCTGTTATTACCAGGTTCTGCTCAACCTTGCCAACCAGTACGCGAACAATGAAATGTACCCGGAGGCTCTGAACAGCTACCATGTCCTCGTGAAAAACAAGATGTTCACTAACGCAGGTAAGAGAAACGGCGTGCGTGTTTTCCCGACATGGCAGCTCCACTCTAAAGTGCTGGTCTTCAAACACTTTAAACGAACAAACAAAACAACGGTCCTCATTTTGTATTTGTAGTGTTTGATGCTGCTGCTATCTTAACACTGGCTGTTGGGTTGTAAGCCAACTCTCTTCCCTTTCTCCGTGACTACATTTTTCCACAGCAGTTGCCTTTAACTGACTTATTACTCCAAATGCTCCGTCATCCGCTCTTTCTCTTGACTGCACTGCAAAAATACAAAGATCTTACCAAGTATTTTTGGTCTAATTTCCAGTGCAAATGTCTTAGTTTTGTCTCATTTCAAATGTACTAACTTACAAGTAACTTCTCAGCAAGACATAGGAGATTGATTCCTTAATATTGATGAAAAAATGTACTTCTTCCACAGGCAGACTATTTCACTCATAGCATGGAGAAACGGTCTTGCTATAAGTGTAAAAAAATACTAGTTTTCATTTCATTCATATTATTCATATCAATAATATACTACAATATCCAAAGTTTAATTGTGTTATCTTTAAAAGATAAATTAATTTTGAGCATTTCTGTGTCACAACACTCCCACTGCTAAGTACGATGGAGGTTTTGTGATGCTGTGTGCCTGATTACATTCCCAAAACTCTGAAACTCTAGGATTACATGCAATTGTGGACTACCTAGATTATTCAAATGGAAAAAAATTAAAAATAAATCAGATTTTGCCCTTCTTCTAGGCCGCCTCAAAGTCAACATGGCCAACATCTACTTCAAACAGAAGAACTACCCCAAAGCCATCAAATTCTACCGCATGGCGCTGGATCAGATCTCCAACGCTCACAAGGAACTGAGGATCAAGATCCTGCAGAATATCGGAGTGGTGTTTGTCCGCCTGGGTCAGTACTCGGACGCCATAACGTCCTTCGAGCACATCATGGCAGAGAGTCCCAACATAAAGACCGGCTTCAACCTCATCCTGTGCTACTACGCCATTGGAGACAGAGAGAGGATGAAGAAGGCCTTTCAGAAGCTCATCTCTGTTCCACTGGGCATCGATGATGAAGATAAGTACATCCCAGCCAGTGTAAGTTACAGAAATGCTAGTAAAAGTACAAAATTTGACTCATTGTACAGCACAAATTTATATGTTCAGACCTGCTGAACCGCAATGGGCAGTCCAGCAGCAGCGAGTGTGACACTGGGGGAAAGCCTAAATTTTATTCTATCATATTGGCACTTTGGAAAATGTAGAAGGAGAATTATGTATGGTTTAAAGCGTCTTTTAGAAGAATCCCCTCTGAGTAGAACCACCTTTTGCTGTAACTAGATTAGTTTTTTTGGAAAACGCCTCAAACTGCTTCGAATATCTAGAAACCGAAACTTTCTCCTGTTTTTGTCTTTGTAAAAATTAGCTTAATCTCACTCAGATTGAGTAGACAAAGTCTATGAATGTCAGCTTCCAAGTCTGATTGTGTCGTTCTGAACCATAATCAGTCTCTGGATTCAGGGTTGCTATGAGGGAAGGTGGAACTCCACCGAGCCTCAACTTGCTACTTCTAACAAATCTTTCAAAATTTCCAGCGTGTTTAGCTTCATTTATAATGTCAAATTGGCTTTTCTGTCTCCCTGAAGAAAAGCATCCGCAAAGCATGATGCCGCCGTTACCATGTTTCACTATGAGGATCATTTCCACAACATACAGTGTTGTGTTGCCTGATTTAATGTTGTTTTTTTTCCTCTTTTGTAATAAAACAATCTCTAATTAATACATACTTTGTTGTCCACATTGCAGCCATCACTGCTCTGTGTTTGTTCATCATATAAAATCCAACTGTGAAGTTTTTGGTTGAAAAAATAATGACTTGTATTTACACATTCGCTGTTATTTCCAATTGAGGTTGAGATTTTAGCAGATATGTTTTGGGGTTTTTTGCTGTTGTTTTGTTGCCCTTCATGTTGTGTGTTTGACCTTTTCCAGGACGAACCCAGTGCAAACATGGTCATTGAGGCCATTAAAAACGACAAGCTTCACCAGATGGAGAGGGATCTGTAAGAGGAACTGAGCTCTCACCACTCATCCTCGGCACCAGCAGTTTGTTCTTAGTCCTCTAAGTTGTTTGTACTTTTGTTTTTGTGTTGCTGCTCGTAGGAAAATCCTGGCTGAGAAGTACATCATGACTGCAGCCAAACTCATTGCTCCGGCCATCGAGACTTCCTTCGCTAGCGGCTTTGACTGGTTCGTTGCTGTAGTTCATTTATCATCCTCCTGTCAAGAAATTTAGTCTCCATAAAAAAATCAAAATTATTTTGAAATTGAGTTTCATTGAATTTACTTGTCTTTAAACCTGAATCTTGCTTAACTATGTATCCATTTGGCTGATTTTGTTGCTCAAAAAGTGTCCAACGTGTAACATAAACAGCATCTCAATGTTTTCTAAGGTGTGTTGAGATGGTGAAGTGCTCGCAGTATGTCGAGCTAGCCAATGATCTGGAGATCAACAAAGCCATCACCTACCTCAGGCAGAAGGACTTCAATCAGGTGAGTGTGTCCAGGTTGTAGCGTGGTAAAGGAGAACACCAGGTTTCAGTTCTGCATCCTCTGGACTTTGTAGTTTGTGCACTTCATCTGGGACATTGTACTGGGAAAAGTCATTTTTGGTGCCTGTGTGCGGGACGCATACAGAGCTCTTTATGCATCCTGGTTAAGATGTGTGAAAATGTCCTTACATAAAATCTGTTTTGTTGCAGTCACAGAGACTCACACTAAAAATGTTAGGGATTTTTTTTTTATTCTTTCATTTGACTTCATCTAATTTAAAAAAAATAAATAAGAAGAAGCTTTCATTGTTAAAAAACAGAATAATTGTGTTAAGTCCTAATGCGGCCCAGTTTTGCAAGTAGAGCAGCTCTGGACTTAGAGAGACGGATTGAGAGGGTTTAGTTCTGCTAAAAACTATTTTCCTAAACGTGAAACTTTTCCAATATTTGTTCTTTTTTTCTCAAACCAGTTGGATTTCTCAAAATGTTTCTGTGTGAGTATATGATCCTGTGATAAAAAGTGAATTATTTTAAGGTTTTGTTTAGGACATTTTTACCAGGTGTAAGAGTAAATTGCAATTTTGTGATATTAGGTTAAGAATTTGCTTTATTTTTTAGTATATACGAAGGATTTGTTTTTCGTGTAAAGAGTAATGTTTACGGTATCATCTAACCACAGTATGAAAGTGAATCATCATGGTTACAGCATGCACTTCTCATTGTCCTCCCTTCTCTTTTGTCCCATTTTCCTCCCATCTCTGTGGCTAAGGTTGAGGTATGTTTGCTTTTTGTTTCCATGATCACCTAAATCATGTGCTTTTTTTTTTTTTTAACTCTACATACGAGTGTCCAAAAAAGATCCTGCCAGGACGAGTTGTTTTTTTTTTTATATATATATATGTCACAAAGCTGTTGGCAAAACTCTTTAAATGGAAAGGAAACTATTCTAAGTGAGATTGAGGTGCACCCTGACTGTCCAGCCTTGACAGGAGAGCAGCTCTTTAGGTAACATTATGCGCTGGAGGACACTGAGCAGCACCAGCGTCCAACAGCATTACTGTGACAGCATCAGTTTTGCCATTTGTGTTAAAAGAGTGCAGTGAAAAAAGTGCATCACTTTTTTAGCTGATGCCTGAACGTGACTCCTTCATGCTGCTTCCATAACCTGTAACGTCTCTGCAGCTGCAAGCCGTCTGGAGGTTTGACAAAAATACTCACTTTTGCACTCTCAGGTTCTAATTTGATGCAGCTAAAGTTGATAGTAACCCACCGGGGCAGGGAGTCATGTCACTGAAACGGGTCAAACCTTTCAGACGTGCACAACTTTGAATTTTTAGTTCTTTTTTAAAAATCAAAGAACTTGGATGCTTTGAAAGTCTCCATTGAGGTGGTAATGTTTTCATATTTACATGTTTTTTAAGGCCTGAAACACTTTTGTACTAAAGTATTTAATTTAAAAAGTGTAAATAAGTTTTAAAAAGTGTAAATAAGTTTTTGTAAGTTCAGCTATCAACCAGGAGAGGCAGCATGTAGTCAGATTATCTACCGTTCCTCGTTTTGCCACATTACAACCTCGTACTTCATTGATTATTTTTTTGTAACCTAGTGATTTTTTTATGTGGTAGACGTCATAGTGTATCATTTTTCCCCCACTATTAATTATTTAAAGTGTGGCACACATTTATATACTCATCCACTATGAGGCAATATTTTGTTGTGATTTTTTGCTGCAATTACATCTTAAAGACGTTTGGATTTGCTGCAACCATCTTCACACATCTACAGACAACATTTCCTAACATTTCTTCTTGGTAAATACACTCAAGCTCAATCAGATGGGGCGATTAATGATGTATGGATTCCATTTAATAATTGATTATTGAACGTGATTGGTTGGACTGGATTTTATTTATCAGAGTGACGATGATGCAGCCACCATTATTTCTATTTCTATATGTAAGAAAATTCGTAAACTATTTTGACAGTTCAACATAATTTACTGTCTGTATGTTGGTTTATCGTGTAAAATCTCATTTTGATACATGGTTGTGTGTGTGTGGTGTTAATTTGACAAAACGTGTCACTAGGGTATCGATACTTTTGACGCCATAAAGAAAGAACTCTCTTCTGGACAAAAGAGACTCACACGGAGGTGTACGCTCCTAACGTTTAGTTTTCACCTGTGAACAGGCGGTGGAAACTCTGAAAACATTTGAGAAGAAGGACAGCAGAGTGAAAAGCGCTGCAGCCACCAACCTTTCTTTCCTCTACTTCCTGGTAAGATTCTCTTAGCTTCGTAAAACATGTCTGTACTTAAATACTGTGAAATGATAGATCTCGATGGAGTTATAAAAAAAAAAGCAAGAGTGGTAATGCAGAAGTGACGAATAAGAGTCTCAATTTTCTTTTTCACCTTTTTTCTTTAATATTTTGCAGGAGAAGGACTACGATCAGGCTGACCGATACGCTGACCTCGCTATGAACGCCGATCGCTACAATCCCGCCGCCCTCATCAACAAGGGCAACACAGTGTTTGTCAAAAAGGACTACGAAAAGGCTGCTGAGTTCTACAAAGAGGCGCTGAGGAATGACTCGTCCTGCACTGAGGCCCTCTATAACCTGGGTATGGCTTCTGTTCAGCACATTGATTTAAAGCTCAATGTCACTGACACAAAATAATTTTTTCAGCACAGGAAAGAGCTGAACCTTAGACCTCAGTTTAGTTTGGTCTGTTATTACGTAAATATTGGTAAGTTGGAAATTGGGTTTATTTGCATGGTTTCTACAAATGTCTGAAAAATTTGTCCACCTGTCTGCTGGTACTGATGCTTCTATTTCTTAAGAACTAGCCGCTGTCAGAACATCTGTCATAAAATCGCAATAAAAATGATTTTTTTTAGGGGTGCACTGATTGCAGTTTTCTGGCCGAACTCTGATTAAAATAAAATCTGACCTGCTGATTCCGACTTTGGCCAAAACCAAGTTTTTTTTATTTCTTTATTTTTTTGTCTGAAAAGTTGCTAAATATAACAATGAAACATTTATTTTCTTATTTAAAGAAGGAGACTTGAACTCCATACCTTTACTGCATGTCTCTCCTGCCTCCTTTCTAGCCCCTTCCTGCCTGGATGCTTTCAAAATAAAGGCCTCGAGCACAAAAAAAAATAAAAGAAAATGAAAAGGAATCGACTTGTTTGTTGATTTTCATCTTTTTATGTTTTATAATATTGTATAAAATGCGTTTATACAATATAATAGACATCACCGTTTTGTTCAAACTGATTTATCAGATTATCCCTGGTATTTATATCGCATAAAGTGTATAATAAATAACTTGTAGCCATTTTTGCTCTTTACCTCCTGTAGGTTTGTCCTATGAGAGACTGAACAGACTGGAGGAGGCCTTGGACTGCTTCCTGAAGCTTCATTCGATTCTGAGGAACGGCGCTGAGGTCATGTATCAGCTGGCTCACCTGTATCCACCATGAAACCTGTGAGGTCCAACGAGGGAACGCGTTCCCACATAGTTGTAAACAAGACGGTTTTTGTACCCTCACCTGGTTTGGACACGTAAACCTACATCTGTGATGTCATGCAAGCGTCCGTCGGCCCTTGACATCTTGGTTTCAGCTACGAGCAGCTCGGAGACCCTCAGCAAGCCATCGAGTGGCTGATGCAGGTCATCAGCGCCACGCCCACGGATCCACATGTACTGGCCAAACTGGGAAAGCTGCATGACGACGAGGGGGACAAGTCCCAGGCTTTCCAGTACTACAGTGAGGTGAGAGAGGAGCTGCTTCTCTCTTAACACAGAGAAAGATCGAACCTGACGTTTCGGGTCGTTAAATGCTGTTAATTTGCTGCGGTGCTGTTCAGTCTTTCAGGTACTTTCCCTCCAACATCGACGTGATCGAGTGGCTCGGGGCTTACTACATCGAGACCCAGTTCTGTGAGAAGGCCATCCAGTACTTTGAACGAGCAACGCTCATACAGTGAGTCAGATATTTAAAACTAAAAGACTAAAACAATATTGACGATTATTGACAATGACTGATGTGAAATGCTTTTACTGCGTGTGTATCGTTCAGCCGTCAGTCTAGCCCTGGACAACTGTTTCAATTTAACCACTGACTGTTTTAGCTAAATAAGACGTACTTCAAAATAAAGCGACACAATAAATAACATGATGATATTAGTTTTGAAATAAATTCTGCTCACATGAAAGCCAAAGATCATCCGTTCTGATTGGACGTGATCTGTTGTGTCCCACAGGCCAAACTGTGTGAAGTGGCAGCTAATAGTGGCGAGTTGTTACAGAAGAAGTGGTGAGAATAAAACTAATAAATCAACAAGGTCAGTTTGGAAAGTTATCAATCAAATGTTTGCTAACAGGTTTGTCTTTTTTACACCCTTTTCCCAGGAAACTACCAGAAAGCTCTGGACACCTACAAAGAGATCCATCGAAAGTTTCCAGAAAATGTGGAGTGTGAGCCGCTGTTTTGTTTTGTGTCGTACTTGTCAGTAGCACAAGCAAATTCTTCAACATTGCGAAGAAAATTAAAGTGACTTCTGCGCTCGTGTTCAGGCCTGCGCTTCCTGGTGAGGCTGTCGACAGACATGGGACTGAAGGAAGTCCAAGAATATGCCACCAAGCTGAAGAAGGTGGAGAAGATGAAGGAGCTCAGAGAGCAGGTCTGTGTGTGTACTGGGTTTTTATATCCTACACAAAAGCGTTTCACTGTAAAGATGGTTTGTAGTGTGTTTTGTTGCAACCTGAAGTGTTGCATCATGCTGTGGGGATGCTTTTCTTTAAAGCAGAGAGTCTAAATCTGGTCCGTGTTGATGAGAAGTTGGCACCAAATACCAGACAATCCTCAAAGAGCCTGTTGGAAGCTCAACAACAACAAAATGCATGTTTAAGTCTCAGAAACACCCAGAGCCTAAATTCATTTGAGATTCTGCAACTAAAACTGATGTTTGCAGATGTTCTCCATCCATCCCGGCTGAACTTTGAACTATTGTGTTGAGCTTGTAAAGCCCAAAAGACTTGCAGCTGCAATAGCAGTGAAAAGTGGTTTCACAAAGCACTGACTGAGAGGGGCACAGCATGCACCACACCGTTCAGATTTTATAGTTGGAAAAAAAAAAGTTAGGATTATGTCAATAGTTGTGCAATAGTAAAATCCGGTTAAAAACATTAACAATTGCGGTTTGAGAATGACTAAACTCAAAGAGTCTCAGTGCTTTTGCAAGGCGTTGAAACTAGTTGTGAGTAAAGAGTTTGGGTAGATTTTTTTTAATTGATTTTTTGTAGGATTTAACCATGAATCTGGTTGCAGGAAAGACTAAAACAAATGTTCAGCCACATACATCATGCTGTGTTGGAGTTTTATCCGTGTTAGTAAAAGCCTGCCTGTGTTGATGCGTCCCACATCTTGCTGTCTCCTTAATCACGTCACCGTCAGGTCACGGTGTCTTTTTGTCTGTTCCCAAACCCTGATTGAAAACATGCTCTGTGTTCTTATTGCTACAAAACGGGATGTCGGCATCTGGAGCTTCAGAACCAAGTGGGAACCAGATGATCCTCTTCGCTGTTTATCCGATTGTGTCAGCAGATGCTTCACAGCTGTCTAATCCCTGGCTGTCAGTAAGCGAGTGGATGGCTCCGTTTATGCAACGTTTGATCAGTGCCACCTGAAACGCGGGCGTTGGCTCGCAAAATGATTCACATCCTTGGAACTTTGTCACATTTCGTCGTGTTGCATCTGATTGGTTTAAAACCCGACGCCACATTGAACTTTTTGACAACTTTTTTCCTATCCGGCTGTGTTTGGTTGGTCTTCACAACGCTATTTGTTCATTAATTGATGTCCTCTAAGAAAAGAAACAAAAAAACATGAAACCTTCACAGACCAGCAACAGAGACATTACTCAGCTGCTGGGAAACATCCTGGGAATCACCGTTCAGCTCCGGGATCCAGGAGAACGATCACATCTGTCTTCATAGATGCAATGTTTACGATCTTCTCTCCATTCAGTTCCTAATCCAATACCGAGAGGGAATATGATCCGACGTTCTGCTAACAGTTAGGCTGTGGAGGCCGTGAGCGGAGCCAGGAGTTCTCCAGGAGGATGAATTTATCAAACCATCACCAGCTGCTTTAAATCTGGAGAAACAGGCTGAGAGAGACAAACAGAGCTGGAAAGTTTGGCTTCTTAATCTCACAAAACGCCACATGGAATGGTGGAAGAAAACAGCTGATAGCCTGCACTACTTTGCCAAAAAAATAAATAATACTAACCAGCAGTATTTGTATATACTCACAGAACATCTGCTTTCACTAACACTGAGGAATAACCATCAGTATGACGAACTGCACTCGACAAAATGTATTGTAATATAAAACTTGATTGATTGATTGGTTAATTGGTGAGAAGATCCAGTAGCGGTGAAAACTCTGTCATTCAACAGAACCTGTGAATGTCATGCAAATATTTCTGTTTCAGCGTCTGACTTAGAAATGCACCTGGTTTCAAATGTCTGACTTTCCACAATAACTTTCAGGAGCCGTTTGAATCGCTCAGATTGTCTGGCTTTTACCCTGAAGCCTCTCTTGTTCTCTTCTCCAATCGTTCTCCTGGCAGAGGGTGAAGTCGGGCCGAGAGAACAGCGCCAGAAGTCGCAGGGAGGGCAGCACAGGGAGTGCTGGTGAGTGTAAGTCGCCATCACACGTCGTTCTTGCTGCCCCTGCAATAAAAACGTTTAAAATGTCCATTACTTCCATCTGAACCCGAATAGTGACCTAAAAATGACGTTACTTACTCTATTTTTATGTGGAGTGTGGCTTATTTCTCAATTAAGAGGCTTCAACAAATTGTTTTATTTATATATTTTTTTTAATAATGGTGACTCAGTTTGGATTCAAAACAATCCCAACCGAGTTATTTTTGCTAACCCAAGTATGGGCGGATCTGGTTCTGAGTTCATGGGTTTGGATCAGTACACTAGGTTGAGTTTTCAATCCAACAACTGAGTGAAAGAGACAACGGTTTGATGTGAAGCTGACTGAAGAGCGGCGTTGAAAGAGTAAGTCATAACTTGGGAAACTGAACCAAATCTAAATTTGGGATCAAATTTGTGATTTTGTTTTTGTTCTGCATTTAGACTAAAAAGTATTGTTGTGCAACAAGACTTCAACAGCAAGATCACTAATCAGGACACAAAACTTTATAAAACCTTGCCTGTGTATTTTGACATCATGACAAGTTGTCTGGTCGCTAGCGCCACCTTATGGAGCTAGCGACCATAATGTTCATAAGCGACTAGAACATTAGTTTTATCCAATGTTCAGATAAAACTACCAAATGGCAGGAGTGGATTTTTGCATCTCAGTGTGACGTGGGGTAAAAGAAAAAAACACGACAAATTACAAACTAGCACCTTTGTACTTTCAGTTTTCGTGTTTATGCTTGTTTTTTCCACATGGCCAACTTGTGATGAGATCAAACAAGCATTCACTTTTTTTTATTTCATTACAACTGTGACATAAATAGAAGAAACAGATCCAAAACAGATCATGTCTGTTTGGATGGGTGGACAGGAAGTATGAATACGTTTGTGTCTGTTTATAGCTCCAGTGTCGGCCATCTTCTCTACATAATTCTTTCATTATGTAGGGATCCATAATGGAAGCGTTAAAGCATTTTCTCTGTTTTTTTTTTTTTAATCATGGTATCTCCTCACTTCTTTTTTCATTTGATTGCAGTCTGGAACTTCACCACTAGATGGTGCTAACTTAAAAAGAAACAATGTTTTTTTCTTTTACTATTATTGACAACATCATGGGAAGAATTCTACATACTTGTGTTAATAAACTGCGGTTTCTTTTCATGGCTTTTCTTTATTCTTTTTCTCTGACATCAAATGTTCAAATCATTCCCATTTTATTTTTTTTTCTGCTTTTGTCTCTGTCGCCTCTGCTGTTGCTGTCCGCCGCAGCCATCGTCTCCACATCTGTCCTCACCTCTCCTAAGAAGTCCGACGTTACGGGTATCGTTAACTGAGGCCCCATATCGAGCTCTCCTACATCACGCTTTCATAAAAAATAAAAAAAGACACTGGAAACCTGGCTTCATCACATGGTTGTATTTTAAATGCAGTCCAGACAAACTAGAAGTGCTTGTAGCCATGAGAAAGTCCCGCTCCGTCAGGACCCTCTGGTGTTCTTATGTAAATATACAACTAGCTGTCAGCTGCTGATGTGTGTGTTGCTGCCAGGATGTCCATTATGTGTCTGTGTTTGGATAGAGCAGATTAGGAAACCCTGATATTTTTATAGTGCAGTAGAGCCAGAGTATGTAACTCCATCCAGTGTATAAATCCTTTATGCACTAATTCGATCTTAAATGTTTAGAATCTCTCTCTTTCTTTCTTTCTTTTTTCTCTCTTTCTTTCTTCCTCTTCCTTTTTCTCTTTCTTTCTTTCCTTCTGTCCTTCCTTCCTTCCTTTGTGACTTTATTGGTTTGACTAATGTAAATAAAACATCCGATGCTTTTTGTTATTTTCTTGCACTGCACCAGAAAATGCCAAAGCAGGTAAGAGAAGCTGGAGTTTAAAACACAACAAACAAAAAACACTCCATAACTCTTAATTGCCCCTCATTTTAAATGTTGGTTACTTTTGGTTTTCCTTGTCTTGTCTTCTCCGTTTCCTCTCTGCTGTTCAGAGCCTCAACCTGAGCGTAAACAGTTCAGTCCACTGTTGGACTCAGGTACGTACGGATACTTGCGTGATTCCGCCTGTTGGTTGTTGTTTTCTTTTTAACGGTAATTTTACGTTGAATCGCCGGCAGCTGTGGTTACCAGGATCCCATTGATTTTAACTTGTTTTGCAATCAGAAGGCATTGTGATTATACCAGAGCCAAAGTTTCACTGTTAAAGATTTTTTTTTAACTTGAGGGGGGAAAAAATCTAATGTCTTTCCCTAATATGAGCATCAAAACAGCCAATAAAATAAATGTGCAAAATATTGTTTTCGCCGGTGAATTAATTTTTTCACATCAAATCAGCAGCTTTAAATTGTCTTTAAAAACTCTTTATCACTGTTAAATATGCAAACATTTTTTACAGTGCGTACTGAGTGGTGAGTTTGAACTTTGCGAAACTTTTTACGAGATCCAACTTTGTTTTCAGATTCTGGTCAAAGCTCGGCGAGCCTGACCCACAAATCTTCTGACGGGGATTTCATGAAACCTTCAAATCGTTTTTATTACGTCTGGACTTTATTTTAAGCATTCAGGACGAATATCAGCCTTAATACTTAACGTGTCTAATGTTTTTTCTCCGACAGACGTTGGCTGCTGTTTGTAATGTTTCTCATTTGCGGAAATCATGTGCAGAGGCGCAAGAAAGTTGGACTTGTCTTTTTAAGTCTGCTTATGCAATTGAGAGACGAGAAAAACCAGACAGTTTTTATCTTGTTGTCTCCCTGCTGAATATTCTGAGCAAAGAAACGCTTCCCAGTCGCTCCAAGAAAGAAAGGAAGGAAGAAAAAAAAACACAATTTTCCAGCAGAAGTTTCAGTTGCCTGTTAGTTTGGGAGGCCTCGTGTGAGATATTTGGGATTGTGAGTGAGAGGAACATCGGGCCTCTTTCCTGTTCAGCTCTCAGACGTCGTCGTCTGCGGTTGCCAAGGCTACCTGGCAGCCAGATGTTTGTCCTCTGGGCGCCGATCGTGTTTGTCCTCCGAGCCCAAACCTCAGATTTACTGAAGCACTCGCTGGTTTAAAAATAAACACGGGACGCTCCGGCGAGCAGGCTGTTAAAACGTGGGCCAGTGAAATCACAAGAGCTTGACCAGACATGGATTCAGCCTCCTGCCATCGAAATGTAACGTCTGCAGGAAATCGAAGAGCGGAGCCTGGACAATGTAGAGCGAGATGGAGTGAAGAGGAAAAGGTCAAAGGTCCATATGGTCTGGTCATGTGACACGTTTTGCTGCAGGACTTGTTGATGTCTGAAAGTGTTTGATAAAAGCAATTCTTTACTACATTGAGGATTTTTATTTATTTATTTTACTTCCATCTAGTACATATGTACTAATTAGATGTTGGATTATATTGTGTTAGATTATAAATAAAAACTGTTTTTGGGGGGGGGAGGGGCTGTAACTACTGATTGCTTCAGTAATCGATTATTCAGTTGACTGTTTTGACGATTAATCGGATATTGCAGATTTTTCAATTAATCGCTGAAGCCTTTTTTTTCATAGAGTATTAAAAATACATTAAACTATCAGGAAACTTTTCACTGGCGAAAATGCGATGACAGGATTCCTTCAGCGTGTGTCCTGTCATTTGTAGGAAAAACAAAATCCTACAATCAACGTGTGAGACGCTCAGTACTGTGTAGGAACGGTCTCTTGATCATGTTTTGGATCAATTGATTATTGGATGGCAAAAGGTGCTCAACAGGATGCTTGTTTTTCTTTTTTCTTTTTAAAGTATGGCAGCAGGGCGTTGGTAGCTGCTTAAAAACCCTCACAGCGAGACGTCAAATTGATTCACTGGGAAAGTCGAGAGGAAATCGTGGTTGAGCAGCTGCGGCCCGGGTCACAGAGCTGCAGTAAATCCAGATCATTCACTGATTTCCTTTTGAGGAGCGGGGGACTCTTCGCACCACAGCCATTAAAACGGAGCTGCTGGGGGCGGCAGAGATTTTTAGGTTTCCAGTCCTTTTTCTCAGTTGTCTAGCGATCGAGCTGATAACTCAGGATGCGTGTCTGGGTGTGTGTTCACTGCAGACAGCGGCCGCAGCAGCAGCAGCAGCTCTAAGGGGGAGCGTCTGAGCGCCAAGATGAGGTCACTTCCTGGTTCCAATGAGCCCTATGAAGCCAGCAGCCCAAAAGAGCTGGGTGAGGAATCTGCACAGTTTCCATCTAATTCAGGAAAGTACGATGAGCTGCTTTGTTTTCCTCGCAGCTTGGGTCACTCCCTTCACACAGAGCACTGTGTGAAACTGCCAACATGTTGTTTTGAAGCCATTTCAAGCAAACCAGGTTCAGACAATTCATAATTCTCATGGGTGCAGATGCGTCGTACGTGGACCCGCTGGGGCCTCAGACGGACAGACCAAAGACGGGGGCCAAGAAGCCGGCGGATGATGATGACTTTGCAGACGAAGACCTGGGAGACGACCTGCTACCGGAGTAGATCCATCGACTAGGACAGCTTGACCTCTGCCGGTGATGAGCGACTGACCTCCTGACCGGAGACGAGGACAGAGAGGTTCTCCTGTGAAGGATCAAATTAATCTCAGATCTGCATAAAAAGCAAACACACACCTGAATGGATTTAAAAAAAAAAAAAGAATCTGTTAGTCCGAATATCTATGAATGAACCTCTTTAGAAATGGAAAGTGTCTCAGCCGACTGGAGCTGATCCAAACCTTGGCTCAAATGAATTCATATTTATTTTTGTTTGAGTATTTTTTTTTTTGTAATAAACTGTTGTTAACTACTCCAGAGAAATCTTTGAGGCGTTTCCTTGAGAGCAAATTTCCCCTAAAACTTAAAGAAAAAACTTTAATTAGAGCTCTGACCTCACATTCAAGCTAAATCTTTCTTTCTTGATCTCTTCCTTATTCTCAGTTTATATGAAATGTCCATTGTTCTATTCAGAATCAGAGTGACAAATGTGAACAGGACTATTCCTGTAGCACTTTGATCTGTTTCCTGTGGATTTGGACCTCTACTGTCCTTCAGATACCAGGACTATAAACAGACCAGGAGTTTCTTGTGTGCAAATGTGCAACTACGTGGCATGGAAGTAATTTTATGATTTCCAAACCAGGGAAGTCATAAATGAGTCTTAGATCATTTTCTACATCTCTACTTTTAGGTTTTATGGGTTTAAATATATTCATTCAAGGATCAGTACTACGTGTTCTCCAGGCAAATAGTGACATTTTATGGCACTATCAAGTAAATATTTTACCTTCAGTTGTAATTAAAAAAAAACAGCTCTATGTATCTAATATGGCTTAATAGAAATTTGATTTCCTAATTGAATGCCTTGAAATTGGGCTGCTGTCACTTTAAGAAGCTCCTTCTCTTTCAGAAACTCTGCCTTCTGGAAGTCATTGCAACATGGCTCCTCTATTAACCCTGTAACAACGTTTTTACCAGTGTTGCTCTGACATGTGGCTCCGATAATGAGCTCAGCAGATGCTCAGCTCCGCCAGTTGTTTGCTAATTGCTGCTGGCTAGTCTAAAGGAGCTGAGTGGGGGAGGCTGCAGCTCTGAGAAGGAGCTTTGTTGCTTCGACTTCGAAGGCAGAGCTGGGTCCAACCGGGCGTTATATGTAGTGGAGTGGTTACCATGGAGATTAAAGGATTCCTCAAACATGCATGAAAGAATCAAAGTGACATTCCCGGTGTTTTTGACGAGGGAATAACATTATAACATGATGTAGAGCTTAAAAAAAAGAGAGAGAGAGAAACAACTTTACAAAAAGCCCCTTTAAGTAAAAAGTCATGACATGTCACAAAACTGCCAATTAGACAGACTTTTAAGGAAAATATAAAGAAAAGGGAATAAACCGGTTCATTAAACCCCCAGATCAATCAGGATGAATGAGCCTCTAAACGTGTTGATGAAGTTAAAGTGACCGATCCCAGTTTCTCCCAGCCGGACCAGAACAGGGGGGGATCCCAGCCTGCATCAGCTGCTCTCATGATCGCTGGAATGTTTTTATTTTACCGCCACAGGCCGATGTTTGAGAAGGGGGGGATCACTTTCCCTGTCGTCGCCTCAGCTTGATTTAGATGTCCGTGGAAATGGCGCAGCGCGTTGCTCTGCGCGCCCAGCGGGCTTTGCGCCCTGAGCAGAGCAAAGGAGAGATCTCTCTCTCTCTGCCTGTCTCTCTCTCTCTCTTTCTCTCTCTCTGTGTCTCTCTTTAAACAGAAAGGAGGAGATCTAAATCAAATATCAGCATTTCATCCTTCTTGTGACGAGGTTCTACCTGGCGGCGCTGTGGACGCGACGAGCCAGAATGTTGGAACAGTTTTCCTGGCAGCGCGCCTGCGGCTCGGCTTGTTTGTCCGCTCCAGACTCCGGGGCGCAGAGATCCTCCGCGAACAGAGAACAAATGGCTTCTGGGCATAAAGCGTCTTAAAAACAACAACAAAAAAAAAAACAAAAAAACAAAACGAACTTCCTCCTGCTGTCTGATCAGAAAGAAGAGGGGGGAGAAACGACGAAGCGGTCTCAGCTGTGCGCTACGTGGCACAACGAAACGCGGCGATGCGCCGTCGGATCTGCGTCCTGATTCCGCTGCTGCTGCTGCTGACGGTTCTGGTGCCGGTCTGGCTGGCGGAGACGGCGCGGGCTCGGAAGAAAGCCGCCAGAAGCCGGCCGTGTCTGGACCTGCCGCAGGAGGTCCTGGAGCAGATGTTCGGGCGGCTCTCGGTGGGGGTGATGAGCGCCTTCCACTACGCTCTGCAGCTGGAGCCCCGGGAGCAACAGAACCTCACCTGCCCGACCGCGGCACCGGGCCCGGCCGACACCAAGACCCGCCTCCCGGTCAACCTGCGGAGCATCTCACCCTGGGCCTACAGGTGGGGAGATTTTATTTTTGATTTTTTTTTTTTTTGTTCGTTTATTAACTATAACTATTAGTTGCCTGTTCTGATTTCAAAACAGTTAAACATTTTTTTTTTATAGAAGTAACATTTAGTTAATTTACTAAACGTCAGAATTGGACACTTTGCGCAAACATCTGGTTTAAATCCAGTCTGTAAATCACAGTAATTGTGTTTTGATCCCAGTAAACAGGAGAGGAGTCCAGGCTGATCCTAATAAAAAAAAAAAAAAGCAAATTGCAAACAATCTGGTTTTGGGCAATTAAGTGAGAAGTATCTGGAAACCTGCAGATGGCTTTGGTTTGTCACTTTAGCGTAAATGTTTCTGCAAGCATGAGGTGACCGTGGAGAGAAATGACTTCCCTTTGACCTGAACAAACCTGGAGCTACAAATGTTACACAACTTCCACTCAAATTTATACTTACGTTTTAAGCTTTTATATTATGTTTTAAATATCACACTTTTTTCTCTCTCTCTCTTTTGAAAGTCTTCACTTTCTATTCCATGTGTGTGACCAGCGCAACACAGATAAACACGTTTTCCCTTTTATGACGGCTAAATCTGTGGAGGATCAACAAACACTTAAAGGAGCCAGTTGATCCGTGTCTCCACAAATTATCTGCCTCATACTGTGAGTTTCAACAAATATGTAAAAAAAATAAGTCAATTAAAAAATTAGATCTGCTACCTCTGCAAGTTCTTCTTCTTCTGTTTTATTTTAGACACTAAGACCAAAATGTGCTCTCGGCTGAGATGCAGACGAGCAGTTTTACAAATCGACGATTATTTTAGCAATCGATTATCGTGCACAAATTATTTTCATGAACATAGTGTTCAGTTAAAGTCCAACTAATCTAAACATGTCATATTTTTGACCCGCTAAAGGTCAGATGCGATCCAGAAGATTGTGAATCAGTGAGACGACTCCAGTCACAAAAACATGCAGAATTTGACGACACGTTAAGCAGCGTTTGGATGGCGACCAACTACATTTACTCAGTTATTTTTTACTTTTTGGAGTAGTTTGGCCCAGCGGCACTGTTACTTGAGTAACCTCATTAAAACGTATCGTTCCTCTGGAGTCAAATTTCTGATTTCTCTCCCTGCTGTGAGTCACTTCTCTGAACGAGGATCCAGCTGGTTTTAGCCAGGAATTCACCAGACACACATCTGCAGTTCCTGTTATTGTTTCCTAAGTTTTATATCCAAACAAACTGATTTAGAATTAGGCTATTATTATTATTTTTAACTATTAAATGGTTGGTGTTTTGATCACTTTTTTTGTTTTTTTACTTGAGTCATTTCTTGGACGTCAACTTTTCACTTTACTTTTACTTGAGTAAAAATATGCTAAGTGTTGCGAGTTTGACATTTACTTGAGTACATTTTTGGGCACTCTACCCACCTCTACATGTTATAAATTACAATTTATTTACCATATTCAGATTGAAAAAAGAAGAACAAAAAACAAACTCTGATTACAGTTACTTAAGCCTTGTGCTGGATGTGTTTCCCAGGATCTCGTACGACCCGAACAGATACCCCCGCTACGTCCCGGAGGCCTACTGCCTGTGTAAGGGCTGCCTGGTCGGGCCGTACGGAGGGCAGAGCCAGCGGTACCGCAGCGTCCCGGTCTTCGCTCCCTCCGTCATCCTGCGGAGGACGGGCTCCTGTGTTGCTGGACGCCACTCCTACACCGAGATCTACGTCTCCGTGGCCGTGGGGTGCACCTGCGTGCCGCTGATGGAGAAGGAGCGAGACGGCCAGAGCAGCAACAAGAGCGTGGAGGGAGTGAAGCCCAAAACCAGACAGATGTTTTCTACTGGGAAGAAGTCGTGAAGGAGACCTGGAGGGGGTAGGGGGGGGGGGACATATGACCTTTGACACATAGACAGCTTTGGTTAAACAAAAGCTGAATTTCAACAATTGGACTCGAACATTGTACACCCAGGAAGACTTTATTTATAAATTCAAGAAAAAACTGGACGAAAGTGGTTGCAAGATTTTAATTTGGAGCAACGAGAGTAAAGAGGCTGAAAACATTATACCATTAAAAACAGAAAAATACAAATATTTATGACATTTATTTTTTCTTTTTTGCATCGAGCTCCGTCTGAATTTTGTCTTGCTTGCCCCAATTTTGCAAAAAAGTCCACCAATCTATCAATCATCTTCTCCTTGATCTGGGTCTCCTTCAGGTTTGACATAATTTCCCCGACCGATGCCGCCCTCTACTGGTGGGGAAAGTAGCTACAGTTCAGTTACCGAGTTTTATTTACCCGGATAAAACACACCAAGGTTTTATTAAAACGTCCCAGCATGACGAAAGGATTTTGGCTCCTTCAGTTTGTTGTCTTTTTCTGCCTCTTAAACTAAAATTTAAGAGGCTTAATTTAATAACTCGTGCCCACGACTTAATGACTGTAGTGGGAACGACTTGTTCGACTTGTGGCCACGAGTCGTGTTTTTTTTCTCTCCCTTGTCTCCCATTTGTCGGGCTCCCTCCTCTACTCTGATACTACTAATATAAAAACCTGATTTTGAACCGTCTTCCACTTTTTATCACACAGCTGTTTTTATGGAACTCAGTTTATCAGGGAAGCGATTCGATTTGATCCCGATATTTAGGGTTTGAGAAAGAGACAATTTTCGATTAAGAAACCAATTTCTATGTTAGAGCCGAGAGTCTGATTGAATTATGAGGCTGACAAGAGGGTAAAAAAAAATTAAAAACCATTTAAAACAATTCTATATGCTTCCACATTATTCCGTTTAAACAAAAATAGGTTTGTGCATCGTATTATGTAACTTAAATTACTATTACTAAGTTAGCTTAGCCGTCTTGTTTTTCCTAAATAATAATAAAAAAAATTATTAAAATATTTTACAAAAAAAAAATTATCCCAAAATTGCTTGTGAGCAGTTTGAACAGAATCAATTTCTTCCTTCACCCCAAATTTGTTTAGAGCAGTTCACAGAAACACCCAGATTTAAATTCAGATTTACTCAGTCACACAAAACTTATTGGCATCAATGCTGAATTAGTGCATAATGGGGGAAAAAAAAATTAATTTCAACCAAACTATTGTTTTTCTATGATCAGATGGAAGGTGTTGACTTCTGGAAATGTTTCTTATATGAACAGAGACAACTCAAATGAAAAGCTCTGCTTCAGGCATGTGATTCACATATGAGTTCAGCAATCAGTTTAATGGAGAAAAGAAATGTGTTGAATGTGCATGTTTTTTTGAGGTAGATCCACTGAGACACAAGAGCAGAAACGTCTCACTCGCTTTGATGTAATGAATGAAAAACGCATAATAAAAGTTGAAAACACTTCATGGGTTTTGCCAAAACAATACTGATATCTTTTCTCTCTTTTTTTAAACCCACTCAGTAATGTCTCGTCTAATTGATTCTGTTAACTGAATTCAATTGTCCACTTCCTCTTCCTCACAGCAGGTCCGAGGGATAGTTGACGAAACACCGGAACTCGTTGGACAAGTTCCTGTTGTGTTTGGGCAGAAAGCTGCACATTTTTACCCCCAGCAGTTCTTTGGCGACGTTCTCCATGATGGCTCCTGCAGAGGCAGAACCGGAAGACGTTGCTTTAAAACAACAGAGCGTCACAGATCCCGCACTCCAATCAGCTCCTCGTGTTCTCACCTGTGCACAGCAGCACTTTGCCTTTGCTCAGGTACTGGACGGTTCGGGCCACTTTGCTCAGACACTCCTCGGATAAGTACGGCGGGTCGGCGAGGACGATGTCGAAGCTCCGCGGCGCCGCGCTGGACGGGAGGGACAGCGGCTCGTTGTAGTCGTAGAAGATGAAGTCGTCGGCGTAGGCTGCGAAGCGGCGGTCGTACTCCAGCACGACGGCCGACACCCCGTCAGAGCCGGAAACCACTCCCTGCTTTAGCTTCTGGTAGACGCTGGGGGCGCTCACACACGCTATCCTGACGGAACAGGGAAGCAAAGAAGAATGTAAACCACCCGAACCAAATCCGGTTTGCATTTGTCCACAAATCTGCCCAACTGAGTATTACTACAGTCTGTCATAATCCACATCCTTAAAATGTCTTCATTTAAACAATCAAGCTAACATTAAATAAGTTAAGCCCAGGCCTTTTGTATAGGTAGTTTTTATTTGTAGCTCAAGAAGCTACCGCTAACTAGCCACTAAGAATCTCTGCTAGCAAGTAAGTGTAACTTATCGCCAGTCAGTCAGACCATTTATTACTATTATAAAAAAATTATGCAACTTTCTTTTGTAAGTTTGTGTAGTGATACAGGTCTTGAATTTAAATCCTGTTTGTCTTAAAACATCTTAAATTTGAGTTGAAGCCCAGCGGTTTCCAGGAAGAACCGCCTTCCCCGAACCAAAATAAGAGGTGCTGCCATCTGCAGCTTTATCCGGGTATTACATCCATGTGCATCTCGTCCTCAACAACGTGCGAACTTTACCTGCCTCCCTCTCCGGCTTGCCGTACCGCTTCCTCCGCCAGCACTGCTGCCGTCTCGTCACTGTACCAGAACTGACTCATCCGCTGGCAAACAGACAAGTAAACCGGTGTCAATGCAGGTTAAAATTATCTCCACGCATTAGGAGCTTGGCTCTACTTTTCTCATTTCTTCCCTCCACCATTTTACGAGGAAAATCCCAGCATGAAATTCAGAAGGCATGAAGAGCTCACAATGTACAACTCAGTATTAGAAGAAATAACATCACAAGAATAAAGTTAGAATTTGACAAGTTTATTCTTGTGTTTTGTCTTTATTCTAAAAACGGGAGACATAAATGGGAATCTAAGGATCAACAGAAGTCTCATACAAAATCTCTCAGAGAGTTGGTGTGTGAAGAGTGAACTGGTGAACCAGTTCAAAGCGCCGGAGCTCACCCAGTCCTCCTCCACGGCTCCCACGGCGAACGGGTCAGCCGGCGTCCCGTCCCGATCATCAGGACCGGTTCTGGTCTCGTAGAACTCCTGCAGGGCAGCCAGGGTGTGAGCGGACAGGGTGGGAACGTCGTCGTCACTGTCGCTCATGGCTGAGTGAGCAGAGGAAGATCAGGTGGAGGGAAAACCTCTGGGCAGCACAGGAAGAGAACCCTGTGCTGGAACTGAAAACCTGCAGCGTGAGAGGAAGAAAATAAGAATTCAGACATGGTTACGATGATTCCATAAATTTATTTAGAATGAACTAAACAAGCAAATAAAAATGTTTCTTTTCTTCAGGAACTTTCTAGTGTGATATCACAATAAGATGATTTCTGGTCAGAATTAAAACACTTAAGGAGGACTCTAGTAACTTTGTTGGAAATTTACTTCCAGTAGTAGTTCTACTCCAGCATACTTGTTTACTTCTACTAGAAGGATATTAATTTGCAGTTCTACTACTAGAGTACTCTCTTAACTGCATAATATTTCTGGATGTAACTTCACTGAATGAGGAACAAACATGTTTGAACCAAAAATGCGTGAAACAGACACATACCTACAGTTTATGACAAAGTGAGACCTCTTGTTCACGCACAACCTTTGTTGTTTTAATCTTTTCTACTTGTTGAGCCTTTCGAGGCCAAAAAGTCATTTTATATATTGTCGCAGAAAGTACTTTACATATTGTGTACATCTATAGTAGTTCCATAAGTTGTATAATAAAAAAACATTTGTTAAAGTGTTTCTTGTGCCTAATTTGCAATTATTTGTATTATTTTCTTCGTTTTTGTCATTAAACTATCAGAATCCGCGCATAACGTCACACAAGTTGTCTGTCTGATGACACCATTTTGACCTACTAAATCAAATGTTACTTACCTACTTTCTTTTTTTTTTTACTTGAGTAATTTCTAGGCCGGCTTTACTTTGACTTGAGTAAAAATACGTATACGTCTCACAATGTTCTCCAGCTTCCGGTGATCAGAGCCGGAAATGATTTGATCCCGGAAGAAAGAGTTTTGAATATAATGTTGTTTTCTCGTTAGCAGACAAACCGTGACTCTTTTAGTGCTTTCTCCTCAGATAAACCTACCCGACTAGGAACTCTTCTCCTCCTCTCTGCTGCTGCTGTCAACATGCTGCTGTCGCTGGGAGATGACGCAGTAGGGAAACTACGGTCACCGTAGAGGGTCAAACTGGTCTATTTGTTGAGCAAAAGCTAAAACGAGGCTTTAATCTTGAATATTTATTTTTTCTATTCTATGACTATTTTTGTTGCTATTTACTACTAATGTCCATTTAGGACTTACTGCTTTTCTTTTTAGCGCTGGTGTTTTATGAGGTTCTAGTTTGTAAAACGTTTTTTTTAGGTTGACACTGAAACCAATCATTATGAGCCTGTATAGATAGACATTTTTGCCCCATAACTGCTATATTTACAGCTGTATAAGAGGCTGATTTCATAAATAAGTACTAAAGATAATGAATTAAACTGAAATTTATTAAAATTTTCAGACAAGAACATTTACATGAAGACAGCCAGATGAGTGAGTCCTTCCCATAAATATCATTGGATCTCTTCTGTTGTATTCTAAGCAAATATTGCATAAAAACATTTCTCAACACTCTCTAGTAATAGAATACTCCTCCATTTTAACATATGGGGAAAAAAAAAATCATATCTCCACATCACAGGAAAGCATGAAAGGGTTCAGTTCGATTCGATTAAATAAATAAATACATTTTGGTAGAACTGTTTAGTAGCCGCTTGTTGAATCAGGCAGTAATTTCATTTCACTACAACCACTTTGATTTACTGAGAACCAGAAGACAAATAAAAAATTCTTATTCCTTGAAATGCTAACTAGCCTTAGCTGTTGCTTTGTTGCCAAGAAGTAAACAGAGAGAGGAGCAAAAATGATTGACAGCACTAAGACCCGCCTCCTGGCTTGGTTCTGTTGCTTCTAGTTTTTAGATGATCCGTCTCATACCAAATATGTCACATATTTACCGTTTCAACAAATATGTAAAAAAAAAAAAAAAAAAAGCTTTATAAAAGTCACATACTGCACATTTATGGTGAAGGTCAAACCCCCAGAGAACCTGTTTGGACTTTTATCATCTCTTTAATTACAGTTCGGTTTAAAATAAATCAATAAATAAATACTGCAGACAGCACTCTGAAAAACACCAGAGAGACCGGAAGGTTTTTTTTATACAATAACTTTATGTACACTTTTACACTTCATTAACAAAACAGCCATCTACAATAACTGGGACAGGGCTCTTAAGGAAGAGGATTCTGCCTCTAACATAATGCTTCCCTCAAGTGGCTCTGCTCCTTTTTATTTGGTACGTTATTGCTGTCCTTCACTTCCAACAGTCTCTGCTATAATCCAGTGTTTGAGTCGTCGTCCTATGAATGTGCTGCTGTAGAAAAATAACCTGCTGCGCCAGGTGGGACCTGGGCCTTCTTCTTGAGTGGAGCCAGCGGATGCAAAAAGGTCAACTAGAATCCAAATGGAAAATGAAACAAAAAAGAAAAACAAACCGTCAAACTGCTACGGTCAACATGGCCGAAGTTGCTCCCTCTTTAAGCTGTACAACCTGCTGACTTTTACTGGCATATAAAAACATTTCAGTCGTCTTTATTCTTTAAAGGAACATTTCCCCAAGAGTTCCCGGTGAAAACATCATACATTTATAGGTTTACTGCATATATATATACATATACATATATGTATATATATACACAGCCTCTTTATTTTGGTTTTCTGTGGTCGTCGACAAGCAGACGTTCCCTTGTGCCGTGTGGAGCAGCGCTCTCAAAAGAAAAGGCGAGGCCCGGCCACACATCTGTTGTCACGCCGACGCTTTTTTTTTTTGTGCATGCAATTCAAGACTGGAGGTGCTGTACTCTTGGCAGAAGGTAGGCACAGTCTGTATAGTTTGACTCAATGTATGACATGATCCATTCATACACACATCCAACAATCAAGAAAAAACAAAGGCACTCTGGGAAGGACTGGGTGTGTGTGTGTGTGTGTGTGTGTGTCTGTATGCTGCGACGCTGCACTAAGAAAATGTTACATCTCATCCAGGATCTAATTAATGGCATCAGGTCTCACTTGCAGTGAGAGAGAGTGTGTGTGTGTGTGTGTGTGTGTGTGTGTGTGTGTGTGTGTGTGTGTGTGTGTGAACATTCCTTAGAACGAGTCCGTCTGCTCTGCAGTCCGGTTTTTAAGATGTCACTTCATCAGAAACTGTCTTGGCGCCGCAGGAGTCGTCATACGGAGGGGTAAAAACAAAGCAATTAAAAAGAAACATTCAGCTGAGTGGAGGATCCTGGGAGGCGGACGGATCCTGCTGAGCGTAGTGGGATGCAGAGGGGAAGGGGCGGGTCCTCAGAATGATGGAGTATTCGGGGGATTGGTTCTCAGTGGTTACTTCACGCATAGGAGGCCGCCCACGTTGGCCACGAACTCCTCCAGGCTCTTCAGGAAGGCCACCTTCTGTTTGCGGTCCATGGTGGGCGGCGTGCTGCTGGCCGTCAGCTTGTTGAAGGCGTCGGCCAGCCGCTGGTAGATCACGGCGTCCCTCTGGGAGGAGAGCAGGGTCTCCACCAGCTCTGAGTACTCCGCCTGAAACGAGGAGCAGCGGGGATGGAGCAACCAGGAAGGGGAAGTCAGGGTTTCTGCAGGTTTCACCTACTCACATTTAAGGCTGTTTAATAAATATATTAATAGAACATTTTGTATCAAAATAGCACCAAGCTTTTTCTTTTGTCTTTATTTTTTGCCTGGTGCAGGTCAGCATCAGAAGCGATGATGCTGGCTAACCAGCAAGAGTTTGTTTGCAGCTAGTTAGCGGTAGCCTCACCCGTCACATGACGTCTGCAGCAACTCAAACTTTTTTCTGACAGAAAATTCCCAACAGAAAAAATTAAATTACGTAGCATAAGTCGGGTCACAGCAAAATGCAAGACCTGTGATTAATGTATTTAAGGCCAACTTGTGTTTTTTTAAGATGAATTTAAGACATTTGGATATTTTTGAAGATAAAATAAAGTCTAAATTTAAATGCACAAAGTCAAAAGCAAAGTAACAATTATGATTATTCAGCTTGGCTGCGTTTATTTGACCCCATTAAAAATCGTTATGGAAATTATAGCCAGACTTCATTGGTGTAACTGGATATTGTGAAAAAGACAAAGTTATGAAGTAAGCAAAGTTGAAATATTTTGTCAATATGAATCTAAATTCAAACAGAAAACTGATGACAAAAAAATGACATTCTGAATAAACGTGGAGTACGACGCGTCAAACAATCTGTCGCCTTTAAACTGTTCAAGGAGTAAAACGCCAGCAGCCTTGTCGTTTTCTGTGATGTTTTCTCACCTGATGCAGGCAGACGAGCGTGTAGAGGGCTTCCCCTGCCGCCACCGTCATCTCTGTGTTGTGTTTCTGCAGCACCAGCATGTCAAACACCAGCTACAGGCAGAAAACACATTTGTCATTAAAATTCAGAAGGTACAGTATTGTTATAAAAATACAAAAATCATTAAGACCTCCAACATGTGCACACTAAATATGCAAACGTTTTATTTTGTAATGGGACTTCCTGCTATGAGCAGTTCAAACTCAGCACCGCTCCAAGTTGGACCTGTCGAAGTTGCTGTGGTAGTTTCGCATTTACCACGAAAAATGTTTCTTTCAGTTCAGCATTTTCTTTCATAGTCAGCCTAGCAGACCCACGCTAGCCTTTTGTAGCGTCATCTCTGACACGGCAGCCATGTTGGGTGTCCTACCTTGAGGAAGTGGCGCGTGGCGATGAAAAGGGGCGAGTCCTTCTCCTGGCTTTTGGCGCACTGCTCAGCCAGAGGAGACAGAGCCTCCAGACACAGCTGACTGACCTCTGAACTCATCCTGCAGGGGGCGTTAAGGAGCTACACTCATCTGCTCTAAACACTTTCCTGGAAAATAACTATTCCTACCCAAGTGTCATGGAAAAACAGGAGCAGGCTATATTTGACTTTTTTTTTCTTTGTGCAAAATCTATTCTAGATGTCGTAAAAGACAAGAAGTTATATCAAAGACAGGCTTAGAGGATACGAGGTCATTCCCAGCTCCAGTGAAAACATGAGGCTCTTAAAAAGGTCTTCAGGCAGCTGAGGGATCTTTTCTGGAAAGATCTCACAGATGAAGGTGATGAGCTTGTAGTACTGGTTACACAGCGAAGGAAACTGCAGAGGGAAGAAAAAAACAAAAACCAAGATGAAACATTGTCAGAATGAGATCTCAGAAGCCACTGTGTCTCCATGTGGCGTCCACGGTGGCGCTCTTCACCTTCAGCAGGTCCTGAGACATGAGTGGAAGAACGATGTTGACGCCGTAGAGGACGACGTCCGCCGCGGAGACGGTCCGGCTGGACGCCGGCGTGCCCTGCTCCTGGTTTCGGAACACCTCGTCTGGGAACACAGGCGTGGCGAGGTGTGAGGGGGAACGTGGGTGGATCGGGCCTCTCCGCCGGCGGTCGGAGGAGCGGAGGACTCACCGTTGTCGCTGAAATCGATGAACTCCTTGGAGAGCAGGTTGGTGAGCAGCTCCATGATGAGCAGCAGGTCCTGGTACTGGTCCTCCTCAGCCGTGGCGTCATTGCGCTTCCTGCTCTGGTTGTTTTTGGAGTAGACCTGCAGCAGCGTCAGGCAGGCTTCGTACAGCTTCATGGACTTAGTCTGAGGAAACAGAAGGGATATTCTGTGGGTCTAACCCTTTTTCTTCCTAGGACAGTGGTAAGGAGCTGCATTGCTTTAAAACACATTTTCAAAAGCTTGTGTCAGCTGCAAAAATGACTTCTCCTGAGTTTAATCGGAAAAATCCGATTCCTCCACTGTCGTGGCTCTGGGGGAAAAAAACATCGGGTCTCACCTCTCCCAGGTAGCAGATCTGCTTGTGAGCCACTTCCACGAAAACCTCGATGATGAGGTTGATCGTTTCAGGCGTGTTGCTGTAAACCTGCAACACACAAACAAAAAGCTAAAGACATTTAACTCCAGTAAAAACTGCTCCACCTAGTGAGAGGATTCTGTATAGCAATACTTTTTTTTTTTACATCATAAAATCAGAATTTAATTTATTCAGATTTTATGACAAATTGTTTGCTAGTTGCATTTCACAGTAATGCTATTTATGCTTTTTCAGCATTTACGACAGAATACGTTAATACATAATTGATTTGCTCCCTTTCTTCCTTCGTCCATCCAGCTGTCAAAATGTAATCTTTGGATTTACTTTTAGGACAACCAATCAAATCGTCTGTGCTGTAAAGATCAATCCAGGGTCATCGGCTTTTATTTGAAAAGTTTTGCGATCTGTTCCATCGTCCGACACAGAATCAATACGCTGCGTCCTCACTCACCTCCATCAGGCCGATGCAGTTGGACAGGAAGTCCATGAGGAAGGAGAAGAGCGAAGCCACGTTGTCTATCTGCGTCGCCTCGGCGATGCCGCACAGCGCCTCCAGCGTGGCGACTATTTCCTGCTTGACCGCCTCTTCCTGGCTGATCTGAGCGAAGTTCTCCTGGTTGATGAGATTGAGGAAGCGCTGCTGCAGAGGATGGAGCACCTGGACGCGCGGACGGAAACTTTAACCGTCAATTACTGCTGAGAATGCAGGACGGTTCGTCCAAATTCAAACATGTGCTTCACATTTAGTTTATTTGCTTTTCTTAGTGCATTTTAAAGAAAAAGGTTTACGAGAAGATCAATTTTACTGCCAAAAGGATGACTTCACACACACACACACACACACACACACACACACCACACACACCACACACACACACACACACACACACACACACACACACACACACACACACACACACACACACACACACACAACACACACACACACTTACAGAGTCAACAAATGAGGGATTTCATTAATGATCATGGTTCTGTTTATAATTTTTGACCATTTAAACACATTTAAGAGGTCACACACTGATGTGGGACGACATGTCCTGGATCGCTGTCTTTGGAGTTCACTGAGGTCAAGACTGTGACGTCTCGTTCACTCCGGAACCACATGGGCGGTGTTAACGATTAACTTCGAAATCAGGTAATTTATTATTTACTATCAATGAATTTATTCGTCTTCTACGAGATAAAAACACCATCGAGAGTCAAAACATTTTTTTCAAGAAACTCCTGGCCAAGAGTCGGCAACAAAAACAAAAAAAAAATCAACACTTAAAAGAAAATATAAAAAGCTATTAAAATGATTAAATCTTGCTCAAGAACATTTGATTGAATTTTTCTCATTTTTACTTTAATTGAATAATAAAAAAATCGATTGGTCGCAAGCCTGAAATATGAATTATTTTTGAAGTGTGAAAAAAACAGATGAGAGAAATATTTCACATTAGTTTTATAAGTTAAAAAGCAAACTTACATTGAGGCATTTTACCTCATCCTTCACTTTCAGCCTCAAGTTTGAAAGATAGAAACTTTCATAAAACAGAAATTTCTAACCAATGAATCTTCTTAAACATATGAAGATAGACAAATACACACCTTCACTGCATTTTTGTCTAATTAGAAAGTCTGAATAAATTGATATCTCATTCCATTATGTCCTCATGCATGCATGCGTGTGTGTGTGTGTGTGTGTGTGTGTGTGTGTTGGTTTACCTCAGCCCAGTACTGCTGCTTGGTGTCGGAGTCCATGTTGGCGAAGCCTCCCAGGACCAGCGCCTTCATCAGGGATCTCTGCACGGAGCTGGACAGCAGGTGGAGCGGCGGGCTGCGGCTGGCGAACTGCTTCGCCAGGCTCCACCAGCCCTCACACTGCACCACGATGTTCGCCCTGACCAATCAGAGGGGCAGAGTGTGTCGTCACGGTGAGCGCCCGTCCTTACAGGGAGTTTGACCCAACAGTTAGTGGACCAGGTCCGTTCAGCTGCAGCTAACTGAGGTCTGTTACGTCACCAACCACCTTAAAGTGGTTAGAAATGTATTCATTTTCAGGGGCTAAAAATGTAAGTAGGGATTAATCGGATTAATTGACTTACTGACAATTAATCATGACTAATCGGTTACGGAAATAATAGTTTAATTTAGAAAATGATTAATTGTTAACTACACAGGCTGTGAGAACAAACCAAAAACAGTAATTAAATCCAAATGGCACAAAAATATGTAGATTTTATGGTGAAGATAAAAAACACTTCTCCGTCTCTAAATCTATCCAGAACTTCAACTGGTTGAAATAATGCACAAAAAAAAAATTATAATTTAAATCTCTTTACCAACTTTTGCTATCAAATCATTAACTGGCTGATTAAACAATAGTCACAGGATTAAACGTTGTGTTGATGTTACGTGAAGTAGCATGTAAGTATTTAATTTGTAGTTTTTAGCTGCAGATCCGTCTTTTGCCACAAATGATGAAGCTACTGGAATGCTGTCATACTGCATTTCAAAGGCCATAAAAGGTTTTATTTCCTTATTTAGAAAAAAGAAATAAAAATATTAGCTTTTTAAAAAAATTAAAAAATGTTTTCACTACTGTATAAAGAGAACTATGCTGGTCAAAGAAAAACCTGCAGAATGCCATTTATTACGAGAATAATTGTTAGCTGCAAACATAAACTCTTTACAAAATGGAAAGAATTTGTAAAACCTGATATTTGAGAAATGCGACGTAAATAGTTCGACCAAACACAAAGGACAGAGTCTGGAGGTGGAGGCCTCACCTCTCCCGCTTCTCTACCAGCGTCACCAGCAGCTCCACCGTGTCGTTGGCCAGCTCCGTCTCTGAGCTCCACACCGACAGATTGTTAATCACCTTCTCCAGCAGGTATCCCACAATCCACTGGGCTCCCTCCGTGTCTGCGCCGAACGCCGTGCTCAGAGGTATGCTGATCTGAGGACAAGCAGCAGGGAAACGTTGAGGGGAGGCGGGCGGGGGAGGCGGGCGGAGGACGCGGCCGGCGGCGCGGCCCCACCTGCTCGTAGAGCTTCTCGTCCACCAGCAGGTACGACTTGGCCCAGCGCCTCAGGAACCACACGATGTCCTTCCCCATCTGAGGACTGAGAAGCTCCGTCAAGCTGGCTCTGGTCGCCCTGGACTCGACCTCCGACGTCCTCAGCACGGCAGACAGCAGCCTGCGACAGAGGAGGACGGGAATGAAACCTCTCACCGACCGGAGGACTTCAGTCAAACTCCTGACTCGTTCCTCCAAATGCTCAAGTTGTTTTTCTCTCTCTCTATGCAGTCAGTTCCTATTACTGTCATATTAATACGTGAATGTTAATGTGATTATTCCTGATCCCACCAGGGCCTGATTTAGAAGCAGAACGGCCCCCAGAGGGGAACCAGTTTTTGTGCCTTATTCCAGAAAAAAATGAAAATATAAACAAAATCGATAACGCTTGCAAATTACAGAACATTAATAGGAAATTGTACATATTTGCAGGTACAAATTGAACGAGAGCTCAGATATTTGAGTTTAGTTTCAATTAACAAAAAAATGTTTAATAAAATACCAAACATAAAATCAGTCCTTGACTTTAATATCAGGAGCGATGTTTGTAAAACATCAGCCCTCGGCTGCTGCCCCAGAAAGTTCCTCCTAAAGTCTGGCAACAGATCCAACACACTGATTTCTATTTTGATGATTAATATTTTCTTAAGCGCAATTTTTTTTCTGGAGAGTTCATAATTCATTTTGTTTACTTTGTAGGTTGCGTGACGTTTAATTTCTGTTTTATTCATCATTTTTAATTGCTGTGTTTTGGTTTGAATATTCAAAATGTCTTATAGTTCTTTACTAAATTAGAGAGCGAACTTGTACTGGGCCATTTCCAATACATTACTTGAAAACTGCCACAAAACAACAACATTATTGTTCATTGTATGAATTTCAACTAAATTCTGCCGTCCAGTGGGATTTGTTTTTGTGACACGCCTACTTGAGACAACTTGTTTCAGGCATTTATGATATTTTGTAACCTGCAGGTAGTGCAGTCGTCAGAAGCCGTTATGATGAAATGTTTTGGATGTCACGTTTAGTTCACAGGATGTAAAATCACATATTAATGTAAATCGACGAGCTTAAACACCCGATAGTGGAAACGACACGCTCCAGCCTCCTGTTAGCAAGCGCGCGCCATTCCAAGCGGACAATGAATGATCGGGCCTTGGCGGACTGTCATCACGTCGCTCTTAGTGAGTGCGTGTTGGCTTCAGCGAGCCTCACACGCATTACGCAGAAGGACAGGAAGCTTAAAGCGGCTTACGGCTGCGTCTTCCCAGCCTGCCGTTTCACGTTGTTTGCAGAAAACAAAACCGCGCTGACATTTACGAGGCCGAGGCCGGCCGGCCGCGATCAGGAAACCCGACGCGTTCGGCCGGCGGCCACTACGTTCCGCTGTCATGGCTGTCATTCCTCCCCCTTGACACACACACACTTCTCCTCTGCTTAATGAGCAATCCAACAAGACACAGCAGCACAATGACCTTCAAAGGACAATAACACTGGCTGCTTGGAGTGTCTATTGTCGTCACAGTGATTACCAGAGCGGCTGCCCAGATCCCCGAGCAGGACAAGGTCTCCAGCACCGCCGGCTAATTGTTACTGAAATAATAAATCCTGCCTCGTCACAACTTTCTGCTGGGATTTATGTCGGCTTAAGGACTGGACCTCGTTCAGGTTTCGCCGCCTCGTCTTTAGATGGCCGTTATTGATTTTGACAATTTCTTCTAAGACTGAAAAATGGAGAATATTAAAGGCTAATTGTGCTACTCAATGCATAAATGTCAAATTTAACAGTTGAAAAACAGATGAGCTGGTAAAACATTTAAGTGATTTATAGTTGGTGGCTTTTAAAGAAATGCTGTGAAACAGATGGGACAAACTGGAATCTGACTAAAAGTACGTACTTATATGCACCGATTTCAGCTTTTTGGCCGATTACCGATATTTACAAAGCCTGACCTGCTGATTCTGATTTGGGCTGATACCAATTTATTTGTCTAAAAAGTCGCAACATATCAGGGATGAACCGATAAATAAAATGAATTGCGATTTTTTCAGTAATTGATTCAGTAATCGATTGATCGCTAAAAAACGGCCAAACTTACAAAACTTACAAAAAAATGGAAGATTTGCATTTAAGATGGAAAACGCTCTTGGTGAATTTCTTATCAGTGTGGCAGTTTTAGCTTCACCTTGTTCAAATTCTGCAAAAAAAAAAAAAAAAAAAAAAAAAAAAAAAAAGCTATTAATCAATCAATCAAATTATTAACTGCTTAATCTAAAAAACTAATCACCAGATCAGTCCTACACTGCACTGATGTTAATTTGAGCAGAAAGCTGGAGCTTTTCACACGTTTTCTTTTTTTTTTCTTCCTTTGCTACAAATGATCCAGTGTTTTATTGAAGTATTGCTACTCTATTGAATTTAGGCAGTAAAAAGTGTATTTTCTTATTTGAAAAAGGAATGGAATTTCATATTTGCATGTTTTAATGTCTTTTTAATATTGAATAAAAAGGCTCAAGTGGTTAGATAAAACAAAATTTTGAGAATGTGCCCATTTCTTTTTGGACTAATTGTTAGAATAATCAATTACAAAATAAAAATGTTGGTGTCAGCCCTGCTAAAATAGAGCGACAGAGTAGCTAAGTTGGTGACAGTGGGGATAACTGTGATTGAGACGCTGATTTTCAAACGTTTCTTTTCTTTTTCTGCAGATTAATTTTATGTCAACTAATCGGCCATGTTGAGTTTCTGGGTGCATCCTTGCTGAACGCACAGCTGCAACCCGATCCCAAAAAACACAGAGCCTGTTCATCCATCAAAACCCGACTGGCGCTGTGACGCTCTGTGAACTCTGAGCCCGGCGGACCCAGAAACCCGGCAGGACCGGCAGCACTACCTGATGACGGAGTCTGTGCGGTTGCAGCCCGGTATGGAGGAGGCCTTCTCCCCCGGGGAGCCCAGGATCTGTAGCGTCGTGTTGATGTCCACTTCTGTCGAGTGTTTGATGGAGAACTCCATGACCTCAGAGGGGATCATCGGGGTTTCACCCTGAGGGTCGTCTGCCAGCAGATAACCTGGAGAGAGAAGGGAGTACAAAAATGTATTTTAACATAAACATTTGACTTTATTTTGTCTGTTTTTTACAGTTTAACAAAGACTAAAAACAAAAAAACACTATTTCAATGTCTTAACGCATAAAATATAAGAGTTTTTATTTCACTAAGATTGACTAGTTGATGAGAAATTAGGAGAAATAATATTCAAATTAATGTAAATTAATCCTTAAACACAAGCGATGAGGTAAGTCACAAAAAATCTCTAAAAAGAAATGTTCTCACTAACTTTTCTCATGTTTAGCAAAAAAAAAATTACTTTGTGAATCCTAAATAACTAAAAACAAGAAAAAAAAAATATATGTGTCTTTTTATTAGGGGCATAAAAATGTCTGGTTTCAACTATAAAAACGCTTCCCAAATCCAGACTTTTAATCAGGCGTTAGATTGCACGTTATTACAAAAGTGTGTCATTTGAAAAATCAAATACTTTCAAGGACTCTGTACAGAAACCAATAACTTTCCGATCCTTGAAAATATATGGGTATTTTCAAGGTTTGGAAAGTTCTTGGAGCATCTTTACGATTATGAGTTTGCATTAAGTCTAAAATCCTGGGTTATTACCTGTGTACAGATATGCAGAGCTCTGCTGTACTCTATAAAAACATTGTAAAAACAATTAAAACGGATCTCCTCTTTAAAGAGGACACACCCAGTCTAGAGTGTAAGTTAACGGGCCGTAAACCTCAATAAAGCTTTGAACTGCTCTGCAGACGCAGACTGCATGTCACAAACCCACAGTGCAGGGTGGTTTCTCTGGTATAAATATAACCAGTAAAGTTTAATAAACTACACTGGAAAAGTCATTTCTGACTTTAATAAAACATTTCTATTGTAGACGTGAGGAACACGAGTCCTTGTTAAAGTCTAAAGAGTTTGGATCTGATTTTATTGTGGAGCTTTTTGTGGACTGGGTTTTGGATTTCTCTGCAGTGAAGCTACTTCTGATCTGCAGACCGGAGCAGAAACCGGCGCTGAATTAAACCTGTCTTTCTTTCTTTCTTTCTTTCTTTCTTTCTTTAAGAAGCAGCTGCTGACCTGAGACCAGTATGAGCCAGTGGATGTCCTCATACAGGTCGTCCAGGACTTTGCGGTCCACTGACCCCAGGCTGGTCGAGGCCATGAGGTGCTGCTGGGTCCTCTGGAGCTGGCCGTGCAACCGGTTCACCCGGTCCTCCAGCAGGCTGCGGAGCGGGAAGAAAGAAATGCCACATGTATTTTGTTGTAAAAGCAGATATGTATGAAAATGCTAAATACTTCTATTTGTGTCTCTTGCACATATTCACATGTAATACATTTATTTATCTTTATTTATCTAACAACTGAAGCTCATCAAATTGTAAGGGGAGCAAAATCACACTTTAGGTTCTAAATTGGATCTAGGTCTGGACTTGGACTAGGCCGCTGTAACAAATAAAAATGCTTTCATCTCAACCCGAGCTGATTTTGTGATTCAAGAAATAAATAAGGACAAAACTACAAGTTTAAATTTATATCTACTTACAGAAATGTTGGACGCAACATAAAACGATTATCTCTGCAAATCCTTTGGGGTTCATTCTATTGTTAAGGTAACAGTTTTCCAATATTGTTACCACCTTCCTAAATAGTCATGTTTTAAATAAATAAATGAAAATCTTAGACAAAGTAACAACAAACAAAAAAACATAACTCTTGTCAAAGAATATTATTTTAATTTAGACATCAGTATGATTTATAATGTCTCATTACCTTGACTTAAAACAAGCTCCTACTTTAGCTAAAAAGTACATTTGAAATAAGACAAAACTAAGATAAAAACTAGAGAAAGGAAATAACTTGGTTAGCTATTTTTTGTATCGTCAGTGATTGTGATTCCAACATGACAAGTTGAGAAAAGGATCCAGGGAAACCTCCACATATCCTGCATGACGGGGCAGATAATCATCATTCGGTTCGTCACCTTGTGAGCAGAGGGATGCAGTGGTCCGCCGCCACTCGTCCCAGCATGCCGATACTGGACAGCTGGTCTGAGAACAGCTCTCTGTCGTCCTCCTGCAGCTCGTTGATCTCCTCCTCCTCGTGGGACGATATGCCGTTTACGGACTGTTCCAGCAAAAATAAGAAAAAAGACTCAACACAAAAAGAGACAAAAAAGGAGGGAAGGAATCGGATCAACAGGATCACTCTCATGTTGTCTCACCAGGTTCCGCGTGCCGTCGGGAGCGGCCAGGTGGCACTGAATGTAGGAGTTGAAGACCTGGATGGCGGGCTGGACGAAGCAGCCGCGGGGAAAGTGTTCCTCGTCCTGAACCAGCGTGAGCCACGACTCCAGCAGCTTGTCGTACGCCTCCATGTAAACCATGTCGTCTTTATCCAGCTGACGGGAGAAACCGGCAGACAGACGGACACGGCGTCAAATTCACAGCAGAAAATCTGACACCAGTGGGTCCAAAATCATCAGGTTGAGTGTTTTGTCTTTATTAGTAGTATTTTATCATCAGTCTTGCGTATTGTACATTCTTCGCACAGTAAAATTCAAGCACTTTACAAGCTTTTGTCAAGGTAGGCTTCCAAACTTTTCCAACACTTTGGAGAAAAAAATGCAAACAAACGTAAAGAAACGTATCATATGATACCATTTATTACTTACTTGTGTAATTAATTATTCAACTATTATTAACAATGTCTTGTGATAGTAACTGCATTGCACAGCAGGGATAAAGAGAATTAAAATATAACAAAAATGGTTTGTTTTGAAACGTCTCTCATATTCCCTTTACTAAAACAAAACACTGACAAAAGTTAACCTCCCAGCTTCACTAACTTGAATATATAAAGTATAAGACAACCTTTATGTCAGCTGCACAGACCAATATTATTCCAATTAGTTAAATTTGAGAAATATTAATTATGATATAGCCACTTAAATAAATTGTGTTCTTGCTCAAATGAAATGCTCAAAAACAAACAGTTGAAACCAAATATTTACCTGAAAGAAACTATTTTCTCACTGTGTGAAGTAAAATCAGACCAAACTTCTCTTGTTTTAGTGACAATAACCAACATTATTTTATTTCGCTAAGTGCCGGAAAATACAGCACGGACATTTTTTGAGAGATTTTACTTTGAAAGCTTTGTGTCTTTGTGTTGAGTGGATAACAATATCAGGCTTCAACTGTAAATTCCTTCGAACGTTAGATTTGCGTTTTATTACAAAGCTGCAGTCTGGATATCAAGCGCTTTCTCGGACCTTAAACAGAAATCAGGCCCATTCCCACCCTTGAAAACAACGTGATCTCGGTCACGTTGTGAAAGAACGTGGCGTGACTCACCACCTCCTCCAGGGCGGCGCTGCGTCCAAACGAGCAGGTGAGGAGTGTGAGGCAGTTGATAAAGGAGGTGAAGAGCTCGCTGGGCAGCGCCGTTAAAATGCTCCGGGGGAACATGGTGATCAGGTTGGAGATGATGTTGGAGATGCCCACCGCCTCCGAATCCTCGATCTCGATCCTGAGGGCACAGAAACCGTCGGCGTCTCAAACTCAGACGTAAAATAAACATCGGGAACAATCTGCGAGGGGAGTTTCATTCACCAATAAATGCCCGTCTTGTGTTTTTATTAGAGAAGGGAAAATGGAAAATGCAAGAAAAACAAGCTGTCTTTATTTGGTTTAAGGTTTCAAAAAAAAGTCTGCTCTGGTCAGAGGAAAAACAGACTTCAGAGTGAGGCTGAACGCCAATCGTTTTCCAGTTTGTCCACTGGGGACAAAAGAAGATGATGGTGATATAAAAGTCAATCTTTAAACTGAAACTGGCAGGCGGCCTGACCCCAGAAAACGTTCCCACAGCTGCATCCCGCAATCTTATCTGTGCTTCAGGAAAAATAAAAAGTCGAATGTGGAACATTGACTCAAAAGTTAACAGTGGTGGAATTCGCAGCACTGTTTGCAGCAAGAAGCTCCTGGGTTCGATTCCCAGAGTTTGCTTGCTTTCCCTGTGCATGTGTGAGTTCTCACAGGTTCTCCTACAGTCCAAAAGCACAAACAACGTGACCATCAGGTCTCTCTAAATTCTACTTAGGTGTGTGTGTGCATGTTTGCCCCGTCTGTCTGGGTGTTGGGCACTCCTCGATGGATGGATTTCATGTTGCAATGTTATTGCCTCATCAGAAACACACCTTTCTTTCATATATGAGAATCCTTTAATCTCCATGGCAACCACTCAGCTGTTCTTAAAGCCTGGCTGGACATAGCCCCGCCTTTAAGGACGAAGCTCCTCCTCTGAGCTGCAGTTTCCAAGGTTCCACCTCACAGGACACCCCTCTAGACTAGCCAGCAGCAATTAGCAGACACCTGGTGGAACCGAGCTCCAGCTGAGCTCATTAAACACTGTTATAAAACCTTGTTATAGGGTTAGAGTTAGGTTGTTTGTACTGAGAAATGTGACACTGTGCCTGGAAAATACACACCGGCCCTTTAAAAGTTTTGCATTTGATTAGCCGGATCTGTCTGTTACTTTCTCTATAACTAAGTGAAGGGAGGGGGGATGTGTTTAGTTTTCACTCATAATGCATCATTTGGGGGTTTACTTTAGTGCAGAAAAAAACAATCAGTAGAATCTGTAGTGTTTTTCCAAAATCTGATTTGATTTAAGCTAGTCATTAAAACAGATTTTTTTTTTAATGTTCTGATATCCAAAAGAAGGAGTGCTTTTTTTAATTATTAATTTTTTTAGACCGTGGCGAACGGATCCAAGAGATTTTGATCAAAAACCTGAAGATGAAGCAGCGTCTGTTTCTGCTGCCGCTCCGTCCAAGTCAAAGGGCTACATTGTGTGAGGAGCCCTGCTAAACCCTATCAGATGGAGCTAAATTGCGTGCAGGACTGTTCAATCGCTGCGGATCGGCCGTCCCTCTCTGCATGGCTTTCCGATGAGGCAAGTGGAAAAAAGCTCCAAGAATAGGTGATTAAAGACATAGCAGTGGAGCGGGAAAGAGAGAGAGAGGGAGAGGAAGAGGAGAAAAAGACCCTTTTCTCAGCCGGTGTGTGAGGACGTTATTTATCTCAAGCCAAGTAATCGTAGCCTCTTATTTTCAATGAAAAGACAACGTCAACATCTCTCACGCACACAGACTTTATGGAAACAAATAATTATCCCTTTATTTTTTTTTGTCTCTTGTAGAAATCTTAATCGCTAAGAAAGAAAATGTATTTATTTTTTTATTAAAAAGAACTAAAATAAGAAGCCAATAATTATGTAAAAAATGTAAAAAAATAAGTAAATAGAAGAACTGAGCTTGGAGTTGGGTGCTTTAAAACACTGCTCACATTCAGGACCTGCAGACTGACGTTACCATCAGAAATGCGCTTCTGTCGTGGCTGAAATTTAAATCTAAAAGGCGATGAAGTGTTTAAATACTCTGATTTACCGTCTTTTTGGGCCAAGTGACAGCAGGATGCATGCAATACAGTGGATGAAAGCTGCAATGGTCTCATGACTTGCAAAAAACTATGCAATTATCTGTCTACTTTCTTGCAAATGGACCAGGACAGCAAATAATTGGACCAGATGTTAGGGGGAAAAATATTCAATAAATGATTATTATTTTTTTTCGTTTTGTTTAATTTTCATCCATTCACAATTTCGGCAATTATACGACCTAGTTGCTTAGCTATAGTTAGTTTCACCAGAACTAACTGCCGTTCTGGTAAATGCAGCAACATTTTGTGCTGCATTATGCAGCAAGCTTTACCAAAACATGTTACTAGTACTCAGAGCATAACTGGACAGTGCTTTTATTTTTAGAATTGGCCAAAATTTAATGAGTCTAAGCGGTTCTTTTCAATACTGGTGTTGCGATTGTAGAAAACATTTTGTGAAGTCCTTTCTCCATTGTAATCTTCAACAGTTATATTCTGTTTACTAACACTAACAGAGCCTCGCAGTCATCAGCTTAGATTTCAGATGTAGAGCCAGTCCTGAAGCTAATGAACAGAAGCAGGAGGAGTTGAGTTCTGGATGAAAACAACTGAAAGACAACAGCTGCATTTCCATTACAAATTTGTGAAAAACTTTGTTAATATTCTGCAAATGTTAAAAAAATAATTAAAAAAATGAAAAGGATTAATACATTTTCGCAATAACATGCCGTGCTGGCATCCTCCTGCCACTTCCTGTTGTCGTCGTTTTCGCCAGTAGTGACACGTGGTCACATGACTCGCGTCACGCAAATAAAGTATAGCCGTTGCTGAAAAACCACCTCACCCAAATGCAAACACTTAAACAAATGCGAGTTTTATTGAAACTGACATATTTTGGACAATTTATTTTCCCAATTTCATCTAGCTCAGTTTTAGGGAAGCAGAGATGGACTGAGACCAGCTAATTGTCGGCTTAATTGGTGACAGGCTGGACCAAAAGTACTGCAAGCCTCCAATATGTAAACTCTAACATATTGTGCCAAACACAACATTTATCATTAAGAATTTAAAATTGATTTTCTCCCTCCAATCAACGAGGCCCAGACTCTTTTTCTCTGTGTTCGTGCAGCAGGTTCATGTAACTCCCAGGTTTAGACAATCCACTTTGTTTCTACGGTTTCACATCACATGACTCTCATGATGAACAGCCAGATTTTACCACTGACAAAAACCACAAAGATGACGACGATGACAGGAAGTAGTTGGAGGATGTCAGTGCTGCATGTTTTCTAAGGATTTATCACATACAAACTTATTCAGGTGTGATTTTAATTGCCTTTCTTATTTGATGGAAACACCACAATTGTGAAATTGTGTTGTTTTTATTTGTGTGTTTTTTTTCCCCAACATTAGCGTTATATCGACAAAGTTGCTTTTGGAAACACGGCCGCTGTTAGCATTTCAGCTGATTGCGTGTTTCAGGTGAAAGCAGCCATCTTGCATATGTAAGCGTTTTATATTTGAGTAAATACTATAAAACTCTGCTATCTTTAATCCCGTTTACTGTATAGCAGTCGACAAACACTTTATGCAATTTGCAGCCCAGAAAACACACCAAAGAGTCGGAGCTCCATCATCAGTTCAGAGCTCCAGGCAAATCTGAGAGACAAGCCCCTTCGGTTTTATTACAGGCCCTGCCAGCTTGGTGTTCAATTAGAGGACAACCAGTGGATAGAAACACACACCATTATTCGCCCGTGTTTGAAGGAGAGCAAGTTTGGCGTTTTAATTCTGTTTTGTTTGGGGAAAAAACAGCAAGAGGATAATAATTTGATCCACCACGGCATCAACGCGGTTTCAGACACATCTGGGACGCATAAGCCACTGGCTACGCTACGTACTCAATTTGTTACCGAGCTGGAAGACAGGTTCCCATGGTGCAATGAGCGGGCATTAAAACTGAGACTCAACAAGCAATTACTTCCTGTAAATAAAGCTGAAATGGTTCAACACACAGTGTCCTACTGTTGACGTTGGCCTCCGACGCTTGTTGAGTCTCTGAATTTAAACACAAAATGCTTAAAAAAACAAAACCCAGCATGTCTGCTCAAAGATAAGAACTGAGGGTGGTGAGCATCTTCAGCAAATTTCATCCAAACCTTCTGAAAACAAACCGAGACAAATCGAAAAGCAACACAAAGCAGTAGCTGCAACCTTTATCTCTCGGGTTGCGAGTTGCCTTCAAGACTGAAGTAATTACTGAATAATGGCGTTCTCCAGCTCCCTAGCACTTTAATGTGATTGTTGAAGGTTTAATGGTGGAAAACAATGAAAGGAAAGCTATTAAGTTAAAAGCATCAGGCATTAGAGAGAAAAGTTAATTCACGGTTCAGGCCGGCTGCAGCAGCGGCGCCCGTCTTCACAGGGCGACTGCTTTCACTTCCAGCTTTCAATTGATCCCTGCAGGTCAGTTCTTAAGCTGCACCTGTCAATGTTGTGGCTTTTGACGAGAAAAAAGTGGACGACTTGTCAAAATGTCAGAGGAAATCATGAAAGTAATAAAAGTAAAAAAAATTAAGAAGGTGGGGGGAAATAAAAGCCAGGTGAAGATTTGTTCCTGAGGACCAGCAGCAACTGCGACCCACACACACACACACACACACACACACACACACACACACACACACACACACACACACACACACACACACACACGAACACGCGTACATACACACACCTGCGGCTTAAACGTGAACTAAAACTGATCTAAGTGTAAGTGTCCATCTAATATTTTGTATAGATGACAAAATAAAAAAAGTTCCCAAACTGTCATAAAGCAGCCCAACTTTCATCCCATTTCAGCAACATTTTAGAAAAACTAAGGCAAGAGATTGACTAAAAATATCAATACACAAGGGATTTAATAAAAAAAAATCCCAACTACATTTCAGATCAAAAATACTTTGGCAAAATCAGACAAAATGCTGGTAAAGTGAGAATTTACCAGCATTTTCTAATTGAAAATATTGCAACAGTTTTCATTAAAAAACGATTAACCTGATTAAATATGTTAACCGAGTCCCATCACTACTGATTACACAGGCTTTCTGAAATGTTTCATTAAAATCAACTCAACATGTTTGTAGCTTCAGCCACTGTCAAGGAGAGAATATCAATACAATATCCAATACAGCGCAATGTTATGGTGCGTCTCCGCAAAGCAAAAGCATAACACTTGGGACTCTCATTAAAAAAGATGTTAAACTGTTTGAGCAGCAAATTCTGTTCAAAACCTTCGAGTAAAGCATGTAAGCCAATAATGTGACCCCTGTGTCGACAGCGACAGAAAGCTCGCACTCACCCGTTGATCATACTGAGCAGGCCTTCCACCAGGTGAGCCAGGTAGGACACCTGGGCGCTCTCGTCTGGGAAGATGGGCCCGTGCATGGAGGCCAGCTGGGCCAGGCACTGCAGGGAGTCCTGGGCCATGTCCGAGTCCTCCCGGATCTTCCTGTGAATCTGCAGGACAGACAAACAGACGCGTCTGTCTCAGACCGAGCTCGTTCTTTAAGAAACGGATTGGACAATTAGATGTGCAGTACTTTGAAATGTAGCTGGTTGGTCATGAAGAGTGTCACGATGCATTTCGCTGGACGACAAATTGTCCCAGAAATGATTGTGATAAATAGCGACATGGTTGTTTTGCAATCGATTTTAAGTGATATCGTTCTTCCCTCGCAAAGATCAATACATTTTCATTTTGTAAACAAAACCTATTGCTGAAAATGGAAATAATGATAAAGAAATATATTCTAAAAATATATGAAAAAAAAAAAACAAATAAAAGAAACTCACAGATAAGATAGATCATTATGTCTGTAAACAAAATTGGCCTTCATTAAAAATATTATTCATCAGGATGGAAATTATTGACCTTATTTTACTTCATCATGTGATTAATTTAATTTAATTTATTTAATTTGGTTGCTGTGACAGGGTTAGCTGCAGCCAGCAAACCAAACAGCTTATTTCCAATCAATTTACTGAGACTGAAACATTTTTTTAGTATTCTCAGTTCAAACCTGAAAAAAAAACAAAAAAACATGTCAAAAAGAGCTAAAAACAGGAACAAATGCTAATTTCAAACATTTCTGAATAAATGCTAAGAACAGAAGCTGTAACAGATCTACTGCTGCCAAACTTTACAGCAAATCCAGCATGGATCTCAAACAGGGCCGAGCAGAACCAGGACAAAGCTGAGAGGGGACAGAGTCCTGCTGACAACTCTGCAACGCTTAAAACACACCTCAACACAAGGTTTGTGTGTTTACGAGTTTGTTCTTGTTTTTAAAAAATTCAGATTCTACTTCCATTTCTGTTTTTGGCAAATGGTCGATTTCTTACAGGAATGTCGTTTTGACATATGTGACTTGATGGAAACAATAGAAACCTTCAGCCTTAATTTAAAAGCTGAGCATTCTACTTTACTTTAATGCTAAAGTCGTTTATTTTTTCAACTTAACAAAAGTTCAGCACCTTACGATACCTAAACACGTTGCCAACAACAAACCATTCTGTTATTTTTCATTTTATTTAACCACCTGCGTGAAGAAAATCAACAGCAATTCACTGCAACCAAACATCGGACCTCCCTCATAATAAAAACCAACATCAAGCTTCACTTTTATTATCTTCACTAGATTTTATGTGAGAGTTTATATAAAGATGCAATGCCTCAATGCAATCTGCTGGGTTTCCTTCGAAACTTATTAAAACTCATTTGAATAACAATATGCGCTTAATACACTGTTTGACCACTACGGTTAACTGCAACTTTTGTACGTTTGAAGTGAAAAGACAATTTTGGTAAAGATGACATTTGTAGTGAATTGTCCGGTTTGTATTAAGAAACCGGATTGATTTTCACCAAATGGGAGAAAAGTGATGAATTCACAAAATTGCAGCCCAACATTTATTGAGTGTGAAGAGGAAATGACGTGGCCACTGTTTGCTACGTTTTTAGCTGCTGCTGAAAAGATTGTTGGAAAAAGAATCTTAAAGGAAAAAAATTACTTTTTTTCTCCTTAACACAATGGCAATTTTAAAAATGTAAAAAGCAAATCCAGTTTGTTTCTTAAACACTTCTCCTTACTCTTTGAGGAAAGGATATAAAAGTGAGTGGAAGTTTTATTTAACGTGAATTGTGCTCTGATTATAGTTTAACCTCGACACCCGACAATATTTAGCTTCGCGAGGCAAACCTCCACAAGCAGAAAAGACTGTAGCGGAGGTGAATCCGATCCAACCAAAGTTGAGCAGGATTAATACTCACTGGTGCAACAAAAAAACCCCAACAAATATCCAGCTACTCCGACTGCAGCGTGACCCTGTGGTTTCCAATCGATCACTTCAGATTGCGTCAATTAAACTCCTGAGCGGAAAAGATTCAAGTCCCGACGAGAGAGAGCGATGGACAGAGAGACCGCCGCCTGACACGGTCTCATGGCATCAAGCGATCCCGGGATTGATCCGCGTCGAGCCGTCGCACTCTGACGGCAGGGGGAGAAGCTCAGGAAGGGGCGAACGGAGCGCGGCGGGGGCAGCAACAGCACCGCGGCGAGTCATCACAGCAACATGTGTTTCCACTGACGGCTCCGTGCAGATGTGCGGAGCTCCAGCGAATCGGCCAGTTCTTTCCTTCCTTTTTTCCCCCCTGCTTCTTCCTCCGCGTCCTGAACTGTCATCCTAATAAATCCAGAGTGCCTGCATCTTCAGCCGGTGCCTCGCACACAAAACCATCACTGGAGCTCTCAAACTTTCAGCCTCCACGTCTTATTTTCTTCTTTTTCCTTTTCTCTTCTGTTTTTCACTCCTTCTCCTCCTCTTCTCACTCAATCTTCTCCGGATTCCTTCCTGCTTCGTTCCCACACTCTTCCTCCCCCTCTCTCCGCTTTCTGATCTCCAGCTGTGCCGCCCTGTTGCCCACTTGGTAGCGAGCCACGCCGCTCGGATGCTAGCGTGTTCTAGCCGCCACGCTGTAGCCTCCAGTGCCGCCGCTCTCTTCCAGAGCGTGAAGTCATCCTCTGGAAGAGCTCGGCGGGAGGAGGAGGAGACGAGGCAGGCGGGGGGTGGAGGGGGAGGACATGGGGGCAAACTGGTGAGTAAGTGAGAAAGAAAGCGAGAGGGAGGAGTGGGAGAGCAGCACAAGGCCAACAGATTGAACAGCGCCAGCTCTGGAAAAGCAGCTGCTCCAGCAAACGAGCCATACCACGGCAGTAATGTCAGTCGCCTTGGGTTTGCCTATAGTTAGGCACGCTGAATGCTGCGCGGGCATTTCTGCATGCGCGAGGTGGTGCGGGAGGAAGAATTAGGAAAATATCAACGTGAACAAAAATAAAAGTCCTTCGATTCGGTTTGGTTTCGGCAGTAGAGGCGCACCGATCCTCAATTATTGTCTGCATCCATCCTGATATCAAAAACATTAAAAATAAAAATCTAGATTGTGATTGTTATCGTCTTAATTGCACCAACTGGACAAACGAAAGCTTTTGCATGTTTGACCAAACTTATGAAGCTGTTTAAGTGTGGCGTATCAAATGTGTAATTCTGTATGTTTAGTATCAGCCGATACTAAACGTCAGATATCGGGATCAGAAGAGAAACAAAATGCATCCCTACGCAGTACAGCAGTTTCAACTTTTCCATATTCTACTAATGTCTACTAAACTCCAAAATGAGGGGTGAAAGGTCAGCTTTACTCTTCTGTTTTCACTTAAAGGAAGTAGCAGCCACAGCTGAAGATTAAAGAAAACCCTACACCCGCTTTGCTTTTCAAAAATAAACTAAAATTCAGAGTTTTACAAAACCCAGAGCCTCTGATGAATATGCTGTGTACGTTTTATAAAGAACCACATCCTACTAAAACAACGTTGATGCTTAAAATCTAAAATACAGAGTATGACTTTTTATTTCCCTCTTGGTATTTTTGTTGAGGTTAAAGTTTTTGTATCTTGACTACTCTTCTAACGAGTGACGGGTCAGTTTAAGGTCAGAGACCTTATTCAGGAAGTGAAAGGCCTCCCAAATAAGGCCCTAAACATATCTGAGTACCACACCTGTCACAGCGGAGACCTAAACCCAGGTAGATTCTGGCTAAAGTGGATTTGACAAGATCCACATTGTACGCGTAATCCACGACGCGGCTGGTCATGTGACTTAAAGTTTACGTATTTCTCACATGCAGATTTTATTTTCTCACAGGGCTGAAGTTACTTCATGTAATTTATTCCAAATAAGAAAGATCGATTCTTTGATTGTTGCAAGTTAAGAAGCCTATCGCCGACATCTGTGCTGGAGGCATCGCAACGTTTTTGTGAGAAGAAAGTCTGACATTACACCTTCAAAGAATGTCGGCACACTGGATTAACAGCAGCTTCATCAGTTTGTAAAAAAGGAAAAGAATAACCCAGCAAGGAAATAAGAGAAAAGCCACTGGCTGAATCCAGCTCCACTGTGAGCAAGTAGAAGGATTTATATCCTCTGTGGATATCTGCTGCTGAAGGAACAGATGTTAGCTGGTCAATAGTCAACGTGGTGGTTGTGGCGCTCTTGCCCACTTTTCACTTTGGATTTGGGAAATATAGCCAAGCCTGTCGGAATAAGCAAATAATCACAATGAGCTCAATAATTCCCATTTTGATGATTCATATATTCTGAAGGTCAATTTTCTTTACAGAGTCTTCATAATCCATTTTATTTATGGCTTCAGTTGTGTGTGGTTTTCATTTGTGTTTTATTTTGGATATTTAAAAGTCCAGTTCCAGCGCTGAGAGATCTTTACAAAATCAAAGTTTGCTGGTCTCCGAGAGAGCAAACTTGCATTGTTATGCTACCGTCAATATATTACATGAAAGTGGTATCGCTATTATAGGTTACTGCGATAATTACTGGGACAATTTATCATGAGTTATTGTGGCAGGCCTACATACAATCTTAAGAGTTTTTGTAGCTTTGGAGAATGCAAATTAAATCAAAGTTGCCTGTGCATTTTACATGCTTTGAATTATTGTATTGACTCCATCAAATTGGCATCTGAATTGACTCCAATTCACATGAGACATTGAGTACTGAAACTCAAAAACTGGTAAAACTAAGAAAATTTACTTTGTTAAAAAAGTGTAATTACTTATACTCTCCAGTATAAATAAATGTAAAATAATGATTACCCCACTGAGGAAATGGACTGGAAAAATTTAAGAGAAAAAGATATTACGCAGTAAAGTAAATGAAGAGGAGGGTTGACAAAAATAAATAAAAAGAGAGCGAAAGAGAGCCGGTGCCAACGATATTAATAGCAGACAAAGCCTGGTGTCTGTTACCACAGGGGGGCTAAGAGGCTCATCTTTCTGTCCTTTTTTTAAAATCAACACCGCGCTTCCAACTTATTGTCTTTCCCACCATCCGCCTTCCCTCTCAGATTGTGTTACTGTGCGCCTGCAGGGCTCTGCTGCAGCCTCATC